GAATGGCTTTTGTCGTCTTCTGTCATAGAAGTAACGCGCCAGCGTCCGGCGACAGGTGTATTTTATGCCTGGGCGGCAGCATGCAGAGAGGGAGCGCTTGTAGACCGGGGCGACTTGGCAGCTTCATCGGACTCCTCGGACTCGTCGTCAGAGACGGGACGGCTGGCGACTGTTCGTCTGTTCTTGGTCATCTGTGTAAATGTGAGTATTGTGATTATTGGACAGCCGGCACGCTTCAAGGCGAGGTGAACCTACCCAGGAGCGGACACCGCCGACGAGACCAAGGGCGTAGCCAGTAACAAACTCCTTGGAGTTGTTAGGGTTGGATCCAGGGGTAGTGGGAGATCGAAGACCATCGCTGTTGGCCGAGTTGAAGCGAGCAGGGCTGTGGGGTCGACTAGACGGCCAGAACTGCTTGAGTTCTCGGCTGAGCTCCTGGCCCGTGCTTGTCCAGTTTGTAATGATGTTGTCGCGAAGATCCTGGACGTGGCGCTTGATGTCTAGTTCATTCTTCTTGAGCCAGCTGACGTTGAGCTCCTGTCGTGAAGTACCACGCTTGAACTGTCGGGAAATGTACTTTTCGTAGTCTCGGACGATTCTGTACGCAAAAGCCGAGTCAATATCAATACACGCCAGAGCACACAAGGCACGCAAAGCTCACCTAGTTATAATGCCAGTTGTGCTCACCCCCTCAGTTCGCTGGGTAACAAGGAACATGCCGGCTGCCTTGATGGGTTGATAAATATCATCACCTTCGTCAGCGCCGTAGGGAAGATCGTCGTGCGCAACATAGTCGAGGTGGTTGGCCTGGAGGAACTCGGGGGTAAAGATCCATGGGCAATCCTCAATGACCTCGTCCACCCACTTGCAGTGTCGCACAGATTCGGCTCGCTCCTTGGCCGACATGACAGTCAAGCCCTTACGCTTGTGCGTTTCATCGTCACCAGTAACACCAACAACAAGGGTGGTGTTGGGGAAGGCCTTTTTAGCCTGTTCAAGCTGGCGCATGTGCCTGTCAAGCTCTCGTCAGCGCCTTTCTCCATTGACGACTGCGCATTCCGAGTCGGATTCCCGGTGGAATGATGAGTCATGGCTGCCTTGTTCCCCAAACTTACCCAAGGTGAAACAAATCAAAAACACCGTCAGCATAGACACGGACAGGTCGACCGACAGGAGGAGGGTTGGTCTTGAAACCACCGGCAGGATGGATCAGCTTCCCAACTGGCGGCGGTGCCATTGTCTCGTCGTTGCCATTGGCGGAGGCCTTGCGTCCCCTGCGACCGACTCTCTCGGCAATATCAATGCTGGCCTCTGTGGTATCGCTGGGCTCGCCAGGATCAATGACATTATCAGCAGCAACGTCAGCAGAGCGGCCCGAATTGCTTCGCAGTCTCTTAGGGTTCGGACCGGTGGTGCCGTTGCGATGATGGTGTCGACCGGATTCAGGCGCGGTAGTATCGCCCTCTTCGGCCGAAGCATCTCGAGATGAAGGCTGCAAGACACTATCGGAAGCACCGCCGTTGGGGATGGAGACGACGCTCCTCTTGCGCTTGCTTCCTTGTGGAGAGGCGGATGGTGACGACATTGTGAGCACGGGGTAACTTGCGTCGTACGTGGCAATCTGGCGTCGTTTGTTTACGGCAAACGTTCGCGTGACCAGAGCAGCAACATCCAACGGAAGCAACGACTCAGGTCAGGCTATCGATGCCGGACTAGAGGCGGATTTGGTTTGACAGAGACGACTGGTCTTGGACCCGAGATGAAGGTTGTGACATTGGGGGGGTGGAAGGGGCCAGGTCAACTGTGGTGCGGATAACGCGACGGAAGAGCTTATCAGGAAAAACCCAAAGAAAAGGCGAGGCTAGAGCGAAGCCACGGAGTTCGGGTACGGAGATGCAAAGAGGACGGAGTAAAGAGCAAGGCGTGAGGGAGAGAGTGAGTGAGTGTTCCGGACGGGAGCACCTGCAACCTGGTCTTTGAAGAACGCGGTGGAGCACAAGAGCTTGACGCTGGCAGGAGACTATTAGGAGAAGGCTGGAGGCTGGAGCAGCCTTGGAGAGCCTGAGCCAGGGAACAGCGGGAAGCAACCGTGCCAAGCGCCTCGACTTGTGGTGGCGCTCGAGAACGACGGGGAGCCGAGGCCAGCCAGTCTCATCAATCGATGATGGACGATTGCTCCCCCAGTCGCATCCACGGAGTACAGGTTCAAATTAAATGGGCTGAATGAGGCCCGAGACTACTCCGTATTACTACGTATAAACCAACCGGCTCCATGCAATAAAACTCCGGGAAACAAGACATCCCTCATGTATGACTACGTGGTACGTACTCCGTAACGTTTTGCTTTTTATCCACGGATCCGCCCCAAGTGACCCTGACGTCTCGTTGGTCAAATTATAATCACGTGATGCCACGCACGGTTTCTATCTACGTACGTACTCCGTACCCTTTCGCTGCGCACGCCCAACAAGGAAAAGGGAAAGGGGTCCAAAACCCAATAAGCACGCGTCGCGTCTGCAGGCGTCGTCGAACTCGAGATGTCTCGCATAGTGCTCTTATAACCCGCATTCGGCCCAACGAGAATTGTCGCAGGGCCGAGTTCCTTCTCAGGACAGCGCATTGCCCAGTCGCGGTACAACATGTTGCAGCAGCCGTCTGTGTTTTAAGACGCCACGACTGCGGACTTCTCTGCAGCATCCAAATCGATTCCCTCGTTACGGACGACGCCGTAGCTGACATTCCAAGACATTCTTGAACAAAGCGACCAGACTGGGGTGCATGTCGACCCAGACAACGCACTCTGCGGAAAGAGGGACCAGAGCACTTTGGTAGCCACGGCTGGCCCAGTACGGAGTAAGCATCAATAGTTGTGACTAGTACAGAGCCTCTCATCCACGGATAGGAGTTGAACGCCGCCGTGCGGTACGGAGTACTGCGGCCTCGTGCGGTCCAGGGCTGTACGGAGTATGATGCATCGCGTCCCAGCCTGCGCTGTACCCGGACCAACCGAGTACTGGAGTCCGGCGTTGGGGTGACCGGGTTTATGAGCCGGGCAACGAGGTGACGGTCACGGATGATGTTGATCAGGCCATGACGTCAACATGGTAGCTTGGATGCTGGAGTCAAATTCACATATGCCTCTTCACGCGGCATGACATGGCAAAAACGAGCTGGATTTTGAAAGTTCCTGCCGGCTCGTTCGTCTCCTGTGATGCCTCCCCGCCCACCCCTCACCGAGTCTCATGTGGTGATGTGTTATATATGCACGGGTCGAGTACCGTTTGCTTGTTGAAATGCAGGACAAAGAGGTTTGGACACGTTCCACCATCTGATACGGCATCAGTTCGGCGTGCTTCAATTGCAGGGCCGAGAGGGCTGGAATGGTTGAACAACATGTCTATTCATCACCCATGTCCAATAATCACATCACCTTTGGTATCCAATTCCCGTTCCCAACTTCGATTGCCTAGACCCGTCTCCATCCGGCGCGTCTCTCGCGTTGGCGGGTTAGCCGGCTTCAGCCCATGAGGGCCAAAAAGTCGTGGACCAGTGGCCCGTCCGTCGTCGTCTTCCTCCGGAAGCAAGCTGGTCGGGGTCGGGATCGAACCTAGCGTTAGTTAAACTCCGGCGCCATGGCAGACGGTGTGATGACTTGTGCACGACACTGTGGCTGCTCAATGTCTTGGATTTTTTGGCCCTCGACCGGGACCAAGAATGCCACCCAGCATATTGCCTCATTTCAGCAACAGCCATTGCTGTGCCACGATACTATCACAACAGACATCCAATTATATTTGCATGGGCTTGGTCAGGTATTTGTTTTTGCTCAAAGTATAGCTACCTGACCACGGATGTACCAGACCTCAGAAGATACCGCGGTACCTTTCTTGTGCGTCGGTGGGAGGTATTATGCAGAGCTTGGGCAACACTCCAGACTCTTCAAGTACAAAGCACAACATGCACGCACGGGTGCTGGCTTGTGCATGCTTTATGAGGATGTCTCAATGCACATGGTGAACGCAAGGGACCAATGTCTTGTATAGCTGCGGCATATCCACGCAGACATTAGACAAGCACTGCTTGAAGGGAAATGGCAGGAAAAAAATAAATATAAATATAACTTGGAAAGCAGAGAACTTTGGAGAGCAACTTTGGAATGACGCAACCGCCAGTCCTCAGCCTTACCCTAAGCCGCGTGTCGCCTTGATTTTTATGCATGTACAGAGTACGTCACCACCAGTGACCACCCACGAATTGCCAACCCTACTTAAAGTACTCAAGTGCCTGGGTACCTACCTCTTGGCCAGGTATTTAGATACTGAAGTACTACCTAATACCCTGGTTACATCGGAGTAAGTACTAGTGTCTGGCTGACGCATATCGACGTCTTCTTTGTTGTTTCAACCCCGCCTGCAGTAGGACATCCTCCTGCATAAAGTACGGAGCACCGAACGCCATGCATGTACCCAAGTAGCACTTGAGGCACAAGGCAACAGTCACCCGGCCTAAAGTTGCCTTCTCCCTCCTGAAATTCGGGAGACCGCAGCGGCTGTGCATACCGTGCTGACGCCATGACGGTGTTGATCCAGACTCTGTAGACTGACCCCATCACACTAGAGGGCTCGGCTACAGATGGGGATCATTATTTAAGGCTTTCTGCGTTCCAATCTGTCAACTTCTGCTCTTGTCTCGTGCCGAAACTCCGGCTTTGGCGAACCAAGGCGAGACAGCGTTGCACACCGTGCGTGGAACAAGGACACACACGGTGCAGCTGGACAAAGTGGCGTGCCAAGTCGACCTGGAACACCTGCCCCAACATTTGAAGCTTGTTAAAGGTCCGCTTGAGCTTCTCCCTGTCGGAGCTTTTGGCCGCTTTGGATTTTGTTCCTTGCGGACCAAGTCTCCTCTGGCTCGCTTGCCTCCTCGTCATGAGAATAAAGCCAACTCGGTTACTTTCGTCCTCGAGTGTCAGTTCTGTCACCAGCCAGTCGACAGGCACGATGCGGCCCAAGACGGACAAGACGGACAACGCGGGGTCTGGAGGCGAGGCGGCCGGCGGCCTGGCTTTGAAGCTGGTCATTCTGAAGGTGCGCGCTCGCCCTTTACACCTTCTTCATTTTGTTTGCTCTCCTTCGATAATACCATGAAAAGTCGCTCTCTCCCAGACTTTGGCTGATCAATTTGCTGACCTTTGTTGTCCAGGCCAGAAACCTGGCCGCCAAAGATCGTGGAGGCACTTCCGACCCGGTACGTTCTACCTCAACCGTTGTCCTGCTATTTTCCCACACATGCCGGCGGGGGACCAAGTACTCCGCACCAAAAAATGATTTGCTGACAGCGCCACAGTATCTCGTCATTACCTCCGGTGATAGTAAAATTGTCACCCATTCAGTCCCCAAAACTCTCAATCCAGAGTGGAACGTGATCGAAGAACTTCCAGTAAATTCACCTCAGAACCTTCTCCTCGATGTCATTTGCTGGGACAAAGATCGATTCGGCAAGGATTACATGGGCGAGTTCGACATCGCTCTCGAGGAGATATTCCAAAATGAACGAACTGAAGTGGAACCCCGTTGGTTTGCCCTAAAGAGCAAAAGGCCTGGCAAGAAAACGGGCGTTGTCTCTGGCGAGGTCCTCCTGCAATTTTCCCTCTTCGATACGGCCAACCTGGGCAGCTCCTCCAGAGACATTCTGGACAAATTCTACGCCATCGTTGGCTCCATTTCTGCCTCTATGCCGTCGCCCAAGCCACACTTGACACCTGCACTAAATCAAGACGCGACATCTTCGGGCCTGGAAGAGCCCCGCGACGAGGACGACGAGGATGACCTGACCGAATTCGACGATGAAGAGGGTGACGACCCATCCAAACCGGAAACGGCCGAAAAGAGGCGCCGTAGACTTAGGATCAGGGGTCTGAGGAAGCGACGAAGAGACAATCCCTACGCCTTTAACAACGGTGGTTCGGATGTTGTGGGCATCATCTTCCTCGAGATTGTCAAAATCACCGACCTGCCCCCCGAGTCTAACCTCACGCGAACAAGCTTCGACATGGACCCGTTTGTAGTAGCGTCCCTGGGCAGGAAGACGTACCGTACACGCCGTGTCAGGCACAACTTAAACCCCGTCTACAATGAAAAAATGATCTTCCACGTGCAGGGCCACGAGCAAGCGTATTCTTTTTCCTTCACTGTTATCGACCACGACAAGTATTCTGGAAATGATTTCATTGCATCGTGCAATCTGCCGGTACAGGAGCTCATCGAGAGGGCGCCGCAAGCCAACCCGGAAACCGGATTGTACGGACTGCGGGAGCCGGACGAACACGCCCCCTCGGCCGCCAGATCCCGCTTCAAGAAGCTGGGCATGTCACGGTCGTCATCCACACAAAGCTTGGGCAAATTGATGCGTCCGCAGCTGTCGAAAACCTCACCAACCACGAGCAACAACACGTCACACAGCACCAGCGTTGAGACAAGTCAGACCCTATCCGCCAACACCGCTGCGCCAGTCTCTGATGCGTTTGCTAACCCAGCTGAACCGTCGGATGCTGGTGCCGAAGTTGAGGGATCCGACTTCCATGACTTTGTGGTGCCGCTGAAAATGAAGAACCTGGACAAGTGGGAGAGTAAGCACAGCCCTCAGATTTACCTCAGAGCAAAGTACATGCCGTACCCAGCTCTGCGGCAGCAATTCTGGCGGGCCATGCTTCGCCAGTACGATACCGACGAGAGTGGTGAGATTAGCCGCGTTGAGCTCACCACAATGCTGGACACGCTAGGGTCTACCCTGAAGGAGTCTACCATTGACAGCTTCTTCCATCGATTCCCCCACAAAGCTGCTGACAACGAAGAGACGTGGGATCTGACCATGGATGAGGCAGTGATTTGCCTGGAGGATCAGCTTGCGGCCAAGAGCAAGCCCACGACAGTTGCAGACAAGGTGAAGAGCCTGGTCCCGGACCTGAAGCAACTTGGAGTTCATAACAGGCCAGACATTGCTGGGGATCTAAGCTCCACCAACGCGTCGGGCACCTCGACCCCCCAAATCGTCGTTGAGGCACATACTCCCATTGACGCCAAGGGCTCCGGCGAGGAGGAGAGCGACGAGAGCGGCGACCGAGACGAGGAACACGTTGTAGAAATTCGCGAATGTCCCATCTGCCACCAACCACGACTCAACAAGCGCAACGACACGGACATTATAACTCACATCGCTACTTGCGCCAGTCAGGACTGGAGACAAGTAAACACAGTGCTGATGGGTGGCTTCGTGACGGCCAGCCAGGCCCAACGCAAGTGGTACTCCAAGGTCATTACCAAGATCTCCTATGGCGGCTACAAGCTGGGCGCCAACTCGGCCAACATTCTCGTGCAAGATCGCATGACTGGTCAGATCAATGAAGAGAAGATGAGTGTCTATGTAAGACTGGGGATCCGGCTGCTGTACAAGGGTCTGAAGTCGCGTGACATGGAGAACAAGCGAAGTAAGTACCGGCTGGAACGAAACTAAGCGTTCCAGGCAGAGGAAGACTGTGCGCGGTCGCGTGTGGAGGCTGACACTTTGTAGTCCGAAAAATGTTGAAGAACCTGAGCATAAAGCAAGGACGCAAGTTTGACGACCCAGCTTCTAGGGAAGAAATCGAAAAGTTTATCGAGTTTCACGGCCTGGACATGTCAGAAGTTCTTCTGCCCATTGAGGAGTTTAAGAACTTTAACGAATTTTTCTACCGAGCACTGAAGCCGGATGCTCGACCGTGCTCCGCACCCAACAACCCGGGCATCATCGTGTCGCCAGCCGACTGTCGAAGCGTCGTGTTCAACCAGATTACTCAGGCAACCAAGGTCTGGGTCAAGGGAAGAGAATTCAGCATCAAGAGGCTGCTAGGGGATGCTTATCCAAATGACGCGGCCCGCTATGAGAATGGCGCGCTGGGCATCTTCCGACTAGCACCACAAGACTACCATCGATTCCACGTTCCCGTCGACGGCACCATGGGCAAGCCAGTCACCATTTCCGGCGAATACTACACAGTGAATCCCATGGCCATCCGGTCCGCGCTCGACGTGTACGGCGAAAACGTGCGCGTCATTGTGCCGATTGACAGTGTGGCGCACGGCAGAGTCATGGTGATTTGCGTGGGGGCAATGATGGTTGGCAGCACGGTCATTACACGGAAGGCGGGAGACGAGGTCAAGAGGGCCGAGGAGCTGGGGTATTTCAAATTTGGCGGCAGCACGGTGTTGCTCCTCTTCGAGCCCGGCAAGATGGTGTTTGACGATGACTTGGCAGACAACTCGAGCACGGCGCTGGAGACATTGGTAAGTTGGGTGTGCATGCAGCAGCGTCTTGGGTGGTGGACAAGCTGAGCAGGCTGACAGAGAGACAGGTGCGAGCGGGCATGTCGATTGGCCACTCACCAGACGTAGGGCAACACACACCAGACATGCGCAAGAGTGAGGAGGACATCACGGAGGCGGAGAAGAAGGAGGCCAAGCGGCGTATCCAGGGCAACTTTGCCATGGGGCAGTCTCCCAGCGATAGCGGCGACGACGAGCGTCCCATGCGCAAGCTGTCAAACGTGCCAACCATGAACACAATGGCGGCGTCAGCCATGTAGGTGGCGGTTGGCGAGGCAACTCCTTGCATGAGGGGGCCGAGTAGAAGAGGGACGTGGACGTGTTTGATGTGACGCTCTGCCCCGTGGTCATGACAGTTTTGACTATGCGCGGCGATGCAACGGGCAGGAAGCGGGAGAAGATGTTTGATTCATGTAGCGATTTGGAGGTGTAGCGGTCAGAGGTTATCTACGCTACTACAGCACATTGAAGAATGGCCAAAAGGGACAGCGTCTGCCGAGTAGACATTGGAATGCGCGCAACACGTGCGAGGGTGGACGACGAAGCCAGGCGGGCGGTGTCGAGACGAGTCGTCGGCAACGCGGGCTCGGAGCGTGTGATGTTGTCGTGCAGGTCGATGAGGCCGGCGACGGCGACGGTTCGGAGCCGGAACAGCCACCGCGTGCTTGTCCATTCCCGCTTCCCACGTCGAGTCCCTGCATGCACATGTCGTGCCGTGCCCGTGCCCAGCCAAGCAAACGCACCGGATCTTCACACCAGCCTCCCCCCCAAGCCCAGCCGAGCCGAGCCGGTCCGGGCCCGGTGCCTCGTCCGCCTCCCCAGAGAGTTTCCACCACTGGACGCCTCACCCGCGGCCAGACCAAGCGGACGACGAGCCCCTCCTCTGCGCGGGCCCCTCGTCGCGCTCGCCGTCCACGGACACGGACCGCTTGCCCTCTGCTGCCGCGGCGGGCGGGGCCGTCGATGTCGTCGCCGTCGTCGCCGAGTCGCCGGCCTGCCGTGCCGGGCGCGCCAGCCTCCACGAGGCGTGGAACTGCTTGCACAGGTGGGCCGTCATGGTGTACGTCGGCGACATGTTTGCGGGCGGGCGGCTCCTGCCGGTCCGTGGTGAATGCCGGTCCGTGGGTGAATCGTGCCGGTCCGTGGTGAATCGTGCCGGTCCGTGGTGAGCTGGTGGTGTCGGGAGCTCGGTGCCTGGAGGAGCGGAGGAGGAGGAGGAGGAGGAGAAGAAGCAGCAGCAGCAAAGGGAGAGAGGGAGATCAAGCTGAGTCTTGCGGCGCCCGCCAGAGGGACGTGACGGACGTCTGGCGCTTTTGTTCTTGCTGCCCTCCCAGGCAGGCAGGCAGGCAGGCAAAAGGCAGGCAGGCGAGTGGTTCGACACGGCGGCCCGGTGGCCTGATGTAGCCGGGTGTAGCCGGATGGGACGAGGTGGGGACCCGGCGCCTCGACGCACGCGCCGCCGTTGGCTGCCAGCACTGACTTGGCGGTGGTGGTCTGACGAGACTGGCGCCGAAGCCGCGACGGGACGGCCAGTGGCCGCTGCTGCCGCTGCTGCCGCCCTGCTCTGCTGGCCCTGACTCGGCGCTCTTTCCTGCGCCGACACACTGCGACTCCGTCATTCGGACATGCGCTTTGTTTCATCCACCAGCTTATTCTTACTCTTCAACGTTTGCTTCGTTTTATTTCGTTTTTACAAAAGGGAAAACCGGCAACCAAGGGACAGCATCCGCACAAGCATGTCGCGACTGAAGCCTCCCCCCGGGAAATTAATATAATACACCCATGTGTTGCTTGTGCTCGGTACCCAAAAAGAAGGAAAAGGAGCCGGCCGCCGCGCCTGCGTCGTGTAAGCATGCAGAGACACCGTCTGCAGTCCGCCGTCCGCCGTCTGCGCGACAAGTATACACACGTAAAACCACCCCGACCGTCTATTCTTGACACGCTGATAAAATCATCTACTTCTTCCGCCACGGCCGCCGGCTCAGCCAATAGACACCAAGTGGCCCGCCCTGGCCATGCCGAGCATGCTGCAGTGAGCGTCGACTCTCGTCGACAAGACCGAGTAGGCCGGCGCTGAGCTCAGTCCGCAATCGCATTCTCGTCCGCCAGCTGCCGTCCCTCTGCGCCGTGCTTTTCCGAGGGCACCGTGATGTTGGCTCGCGCCTTCTGCTGAGCCTCCACGAATCGTCCCCAGTGCTCCGGATCGCTGTCCCTCATGCTGCCAAAGAGCGCGTCCTTGTCTTCCTTGAACGCTCGCACTGCTCCCTTTTCCTTGACCTTTTCAAGAAACTCCCCGCCAATGTCTTCCGCGAGGTCCACCAGCATTTGACAGTGTTTCGGATCCGATCCGATGTCGTCAATCGTGCTGATGAGGTCGAATTGCTCCTTGCCCACGAATCCGGACCGGAAACGGTGTCCAGCACGGAGCATCCGTCCTTCCTCCTCCGCTAGTTCCCTGGACAGCATCGAATTGGACCGGGACAGCGGCTTGGGCGCCTGCATTTCCGCCTCCTCTTCTCCGTCCGACACCGCGACTGCCGAGTCTTCTGCCGTCGGTCCGGCCTGCAGTGGCTCCTCGCTCAGTGTCCAAGACGCCTTGCGCAGCTCGCTGCTCGCCACTGCATCTGGCAACGCCTCCCGCGTGTCGGGAAATTCGTCTTCGAACCTCTTGATGATGCCTTGCAGCGTTTCATCTAGGAACGTGAGCTTGCGCAGGTTCACCTCGTCGCCCGGCTCGGCCCTGGCCTTGTGCAACGCTGGCTGCAGGCGCTGTCGAATCTTTCTCGCCCCCGCCAGCAGATGCTTCGACATGTCCTTGGCCTTGCCGCCAGTCGCGAGGCCAGGCAGCGCCCCAGAGTCGCTGCCGTCCTCCCTGCTCCTGCCCAGCTCTGCCGACTGTCGCTGGGAGTCGTCGCCTCGGTTCTTGAGACAGAACGCCAGGGCCTTGACCACGCCGGTGCCCCCGATGACGTAATCTTCGTCTGGCGCGTCTTCACGCTCTTCCTCTGCCCCGTCTTGCTCCAGCACGTCGTGGCCCACAAGATGCGCAATGACGTCGGGGTACGCAGCTATCTTGGCATCCCGCAGCTCCGACTGCGACTCGGACATGGCGCTCGCTGCAATGGTGCTGATGCTCGTGTCGGGAATCCTCTCCATGTTGCGGAGACAGTACGCCACCACCTGCTTCGCCATGGCCTTGACAACCTCTCCCGATTCTCTACTCGGCACTTCAATGTCCACACATATCAGGCTCCTGGATATTCTCGCTGCCGCCATCAGCGACGCATACAAGGCGCAAGCTTCTTCCTGTGCTTCCTCCGTCTTGGCGTCCGCAAGCCTCACCAGATCACTATTGCCCACCAAGTTGATATGTGCCAGGTTGCGCGCTTCCGGCAAGACCTCGAGTAGCGCGATGGCTTGCTCCGGGCTCATGTTGACGTCCTGCAAGTGGATTCGTTTTAAATCTTCCAGCTTGGGGAGATATCTAAACATTCTGTTAGTATGCCAAGCTGCATCGTCACCACACGCCAGAGCTTATTTCAACCAAAAACTTTACCTTCTCAAGAGGCCAAGGGCACTGGGTTCTGTCTGGAACAGTTCTTGATTGTGGGAAAGGTCGATAAATCGAAAGCCTCTCAGCTTGGCAATTACCGGCAACAGCTTCCCGAGACTCGATGGAGTCAGACTACAGCTGGACAGGCTCAGCGCCCAGATGGGATGGTGCTCGTCCAAGCAGCCGGCCAACGTCTCGATGTGCTCGTTGATGTCGTTTCCGCCCAGATCTAGACCCTCGCAGAACCCGCCAGACAAGTACCTTACCACATGCTTGATACCGTCTGCATCCAGAGAGTTGTGTGCCAAGCCCAGTCGTCGAACACCACACTTGATAATGCCGTCCATGATTGTGCCCAGCTGCTCCATACTGGGCTCCGTCTCGCCCATATTCACCATCTCCAGAGTTGAACCACCTAGTCGATCGGCCATGGCCTTTGAGAAGACATCTGATATCGAGCGAGGAATATGTACGCCATTTGGCAGGTTGCCATTCTTGACAGCCGGCGCCTGTCTGGGAAAGGCTATGTGCGAAATGTCGAGATACTTCAGTGATCGGCACTTGTATATGAATAGAGAGATATGCTTCCAGCCGTCAGGTCCAAGCTTATTATTTTTTATGACGAGCCGCTCAACAACTCCACCTCGTGCCTCGAGCTCGTGTTTGGGCTTCTTACGCCGCGAGGTTGGAGGCATCTTGGCTGCCAGTAGACCAGCAAGAATCACGCGAAGGCCCTCATCGCCCAGGCCACAATTCTCCAAAACGACCTCCTTGACGGGAACCACCGCGAGATAGTCCCCAAGCGTGATTAGGTCTGGAAGCTGAAGAAAGTAGTCCGTCAGGTCCAATTTGTTGACTGTGCCAGCGGAGAAGTTGGAGTTGGCCTTGTCCATCAATTGCTCCGTGATCTTCTTGAGAATCGGAGTTTCGCGCAGCTGACAACAACGACGATATATCCTGGCAGGATTTGTGGTTGGATCAGACGACGACTTTGGAGTTGTGTCGCCGCTGTGAGTATCTGATGATGATGAGTCGGTGCTGTCATAGTGAATCTCGATCGGCACAGAACCGTTGTCTTCGGCGAGTTTTCGACGCTTCTCTTTCCTAGCTTTCCGTTCTTCCTCGCTTCTCTTCTTCTTCTCCTTCTTCTTCGATACCTCCTTTCCCTTTTCAGGCTCAGCAGACGGAGTTTCGTCGGCAGCGCCATCGTGTGTTCTACCTTCGTTGTTAGGGTGGTTCGTGTCGGGTTTGGAGCTGCCATTTCCGTTGGTCCGTCTGGCAGCCTCCTCGGCCTCCTTGTTGGCTTCAACTGCCTGAGGGTTCTTAAGCGCAGCTCCTTCGCCTTGTTCTGTGAGTTTCTTCTTTTGTGCCTTGTCTAGCGGTTTTGCTCCCCGAGTCTCCCCATCGGCATACTTTGGCATGGGAGCAATCTCCACGTCTACGCAAAATGAAACCCGTCTAAGCTTGGCATCCTTCAGCTCCGATATATTGCATCTTTCGCGGTTTTGATCGATATTCAGTACCTTGCGTTCGACCAGGCCATTTCCAAGCTTTCCATTCACCATGCTGGTGCTGCCTGACGAGGACAGACGTCGAAAGACCCCAAGAAAGCCAGCTTGGCTGGTCTTGGGCGGGGCTGGAGTGTATGGGCTGTTACCTTCCGGTTTCGCGGCGGCATGTTGCAGAACAGCATTTCTGGTAGGATTCAGCTTTGGTGGCAGTGGGATCGACTCAAGGGTATCATCGGAAGACGGCGAGGTATGGGATGACTGAGGTGGTGCTGGAGATGGTGATGCTTGATATTCAGTCTGCTGCTGTGACTCTTTGTGGTGAAGATGATGCAGAGAATGGTGATGGGCCGCCGTATTGCTCGGTGGCGACGTAGCGGAGCTAGAGAATTTGGCAGGAATGATGTTTGAGAACCATGAGTTGCGTCGCTGAAGGGGAGGTCCATTCGGCCCCGATTTATTGTCTATTGAGCCGGATCGTGATGTTCGTTTTGACGCAGCGGTGGAATTTGTAGGGCTGGGAGTAGGCTGCCCATTCTGCTGTAGAGGCGTACCCGTTCCCTTTGCGACAGGGGTCCCTTGGGGATTGCGAGCATCTTGCGACGGCGTGGGAACATTTCGCGGTTGCGCTGGAGCCGATGATGACGCCTTTGGAGGCGAGGTGGACGGTTTGTTCGCTTTGTCTGTTTTTTGAACATGTCAGCAGATGTCGAGGAACCAGCGTGGGAAGATGTGGCAGGCACAGGGTTCCTTTGCATGCGCAAAACGAATTCCGTATCCGATTCGAACGAACCATTGACATGACATGGCGTAGGATGAGGCCTTACCTTTTGGCGACGCCTTGGTCATCCAGCTAACGTCGACGCCGTGGACTTGCTCCATGGTGCCGGCGGGAAGCTTCCTCTCGCTGGACTACTCCACAGGGCACACCATGAACGACAGAGATGTGTAGGGACAGGAACTGCACGTGAGATGATATTAAATGGGGTGGCAGACGTGGAAGCACTGAGGAATGATACTCTTTGATCTAGCGTCGTCGGGAAGCAGATCGTGAGTGAAACTGTGGACGACGTTTTGTCTTTTCGCAACTGATTGTCGTCGGAAACGGGCGGGAGTCGTTGGATGTGTGGGCTGACGTCGATTTCTCAGCCGGGGAGACGGCTGAGGGTGGATAGACAGACTTTTGGCTTCTTCCGGGGTCTGGGCACACCCGGGGCTGGCTTTGTCGGTTCAAATGGAGGACCAAGGTCAGGCCAGCCTTTTTGACTGGCCCCTGAGTCCTGGCAGACGCCTCAGCAAGTTGCAAATGTTCTGGTAGATGCTGACCCGGGGTCGCAGACACGGACTTTGTCGAGGGGTCAATTCGAGCCAACGACCGAGCTCTTCCTGGGCCCTATCATAGGATGGCGGGGTAATCAATTACGGAGACGGCGGAGCCAATGGTTTCCTCTGGCTCAGGGTTGAGATCGGCGAGACAGCGCTGTCAAAGTGGTCGCCAAGTTTGTTCATGTAGAATGCTTGTGTTGCTTTGCTGGCGGCTCCTCCGTCATCGACCCCCCAGCGACGACCCTCCGGGCTCCAGCACCCATCAGCTCTCCATAAGGTCTCCACTTGATGCTCGGACGTTGGCGTTGTTTCGTGGCTTTGGACGGGATGTCGATGTCGACGTCGCGTGCTTTGGATATTGGACCCGAGTAAGAGTATCGCTGCTGCAAAATTTGGAGTGATAAACAAGCTTAGAGGTGGGATCTTTGATGGCCCTGGGATTAGCTAGGGTTTGTGCTCCAAAGCCACTCAATTAAATTCTGCTGTCTGCTGTGCGGGCATAAGAGTAAAAAACGAAGGCACCTTAAGCAATAGAGGACAAAGCTCGACTTTTGTCCGATGTTGACATCGACGTTGACGCGGCTGCCTTGCTGGTTCGCGTACTCCGTGGCTCCTTCCTCGCTCAGCTAGGCGGACCTGTGCACTCACGCACACACCAGTCTCCAGTCGACATGCCAATGCAATCAATCAAGCATCGAAATGGTGCGAGCCAAAGGAAGCCGTTGCCTCGTGCAAATCTCTGACAAGTCGCCGACCCCCGAAACTACTATCTTGCTACGATCTGCCTGCATGTCAACCAGCCTCCGTCCAATCACGGAAGCACAGGGTACCCCGCAGTCGGGTCGGGGATTGCTCAGGAGTTAGATGACGAGCCATCTCCAAGCGTCTCGACAAGACAGCCTAATTTCCTGCACTGAAAACGGCCAATAGCTGGAACAGTCCAAACGCAGCCGCCATCGTGGTGACTTTTACGCCGTACCGCCGCCGTTTCCGCGGCTAAGCGACCGAGAGCGAAGAGACACATGTAAGGAGAGCGGATTAGGGTTAGGGTTAGAAAGCATCTCCGCCTCTTCCGCAGCTACGCTCTCCGAACTGACCTACGAGGGGGTGTGACAGAAAGTCGAAATAGACGAGTGCTTGGAGGATAAAAAAGCTGAAAAAGCCCGTCACCTCGTACTCGACGCCAACTCGGGCAAAATCGCATGCATGGAAGCTGCTGACTGATGTCTCTCGTCTCTCCCTCTTACTAAGATGGCAAACCGATGACGCCCGTGATGCGGGGTCTTACTAAGAAGCCTCCCGAATTCCGAACACGATACATGATTACAGGACGACTGCGTCTTGCTACTATTGGCCGCCACCAACACAGAAACCCCGGAGAGAGCTCTCGGTTGCCCCTCCGTATTGTGCCGAATGTATTCGACGGTAGTTGATGGTTGCGGCAAGAAATCTGGCACCTTGTATCTTCATCTTGGCCCCGCCTGCCATTGCCATCAACCTGCAACTCTTATGGCGGCAGGGATGCCACTGTTGTGGAACATCCCCCAGTTAATCCATCTTTCGGGACGACAACTTGTCGGTCTTTATCCTGCTGGTGTCGGGAAAATCCACACTCCGTACAGCAATCGGGATGATCACAAAACCCATGATGTGCGATTTGCGCCACCCGTTGCGACCACCCAAAGGCAGACCAACATGAGGAGCCATGATGCTAGAGTAGATGTCCACAGCACGGCAGCAGCCACGTATCTCGCGTACGACGCACACCCGGCCAACTATCCTCCACTCTCTCTGACAGATGCCGGTGATGGGGGAACCTCGGTCGATGCCCGCCCGCCCGATACGGCTTCATCAGCCGATGCTTGGCCCAGAGCCCCCGGCCCCTGCCCCGACAACGTATAAGGTTCGGAAGATGGCCGATGGAAGCACTGCAACTTGGTCTATTCAATGACGAGCCAGCCAAATACCCCAAGTCATACTCCGTACCGAGTACAACCGGGAAACGGCAGGTGCCAATGGCTTCATGACGACTGGCCATTGCATCATCATCGTCCATGCATGCATGTTGGCGGGGCAGCGCGGCCATGATTCCTCGTTCCAAGTGCAACACACGCGGTAGGCTCGCCTGCCTGCAGGAAGGAGTGCTTCGCCTTCATGCAGCATAAATAAGCAAACGCCACCGGCAGACGGTCGCTCTCGTGTTTTGCCCCGGCCCGGCGTCGCTACTCAACTCATCCAAACGCGCACTTGACATGTCCCGAACGTCGCTCGCCATGCCTCATCATGTGCCCAGCACCCCTTTGGCCAAGTACACCCATCCGCCCGAGACAGGCGAGCATCGTAAGCCGAAGGCTTCCCAGCGCCCAGCACCAAGACAACATGCTAACCATGCCAAAACCTGCCCAGTCAGCTACGCAGACCTCATAACCCTCGACCTCGCCGAGTACGACAAGCCCGGAGGAAAAGAAAAGCTGGCGTCCCAGCTCGGACAAACCGTCCACACCACCGGTTCGCACCTGCCCCCCTCTGGTCGAGGAGGAATCCCTGACATAGCATTAAAAGGCTTCTTCTACATCACCAACATCGGCCTCACCCAGGCGCAAATCGACGAGCAATTCGCCATTGCAAAGTCCTTCTTCGCCCTGCCGACGCCCGAAAAGCTCCGGTTCCGCGCCCCGCTCGAGGACGGCAACTACAACGGCTACCGCCCCCTCGGGGCCGTCGAGGTCCTCCCCGGCCTCCGCGACAACCTCGAGTTCTACAGTGTCTTCAAGTTCACGCCGCGCACGCAGCGCAGCGCCCAGCCGCAAGTCATACGCGAGCACGCCTCCGAGATCGAGCTCTTCCAGCGGCACATGCACGAAAACGTGACGCGCAAACTGCTCGCCCTCATTGCCCTCGCCTTGCAGCTCCCCGCGGACGAGCTGGTCAAGGGGCACCGCTACGACGCCAACTGCGACAGCTCGCTGCGGTACATGATGTACCGGGCCAGGTCCGAGGCCGACAACAAAAAGTACAAGGACCTGTACCTGCGCGGACACTCGGACAACGGGACGTTGACGTATGTCTTCCAGCAGCCCGTTGCGGCGTTGCAGGTGAGGCGCGGCCCGGACTCGGGGTGGGAGTATCTGCGCGTCCCCGAGGGCAAGGTGGCTGTCAACGTCGCCGACATCCTGGAGTTCCTTTCCAATGGGTACATGAAGAGCGGCATACACAGGGTCGTCGCGCCGCCGGCCGACCAGGCGTGCGTGGATCGGCTGGGTGTGCTGTATTTTGTGCGCCCCAGCGACGACCTGCCCCTGAAGACGCTGGACAGTCCGTTTCTCAGGAGCGTGGGCCATGGGAAGAAGACCGGGGAGAGTGGTGATTTGGATATCTCGGCGTCGGAGTGGGTGAGGTCGAGGGTCAAGAAGAACTGGAAGGGGGCCGTGACGGAGGGCGTTGATACTAGGGAAGGGTTTTTGACAAAGGTGTTTTACGCATGAGTAGCTGGCCAAGGCATTGCTGCAAGCATGTTTTCTTCTTCCTCCTCTTCTTTTGGCCACGGAGTACTTGATAGTCTGAATTCATTAGAACCAGCGAAGCACGCAACGCACCTCAGGCTATGGCCATCTGCAGACGTGGTGATTTCCAGAGACGCCAGTGCGCGGACAGGCCAGCGCCGAAACTGCCACCGGGGCGGAGCCATCGCCATCGCCACCTCCTCGCCCTTGTTGGTGGGGACGCTGGGGAGCAGCAAGGCGCCATCTGGGACTTGACGCGTCTGACTAGCATCGTCCAGGCGACGCACGAGAAGCCGAGCACGGGCTAGAATGGATCGACGCCAAGTTCGACATGTTTGAGGGGCGAAAGGATGTGGCACAAGTCACGCACGACAACTACACATCACCACGGGCACTATGCATCATGGCGCAGTGCACGAGTCTCTTCTTTTCCTCCCCTCCCCGTCTCCTCGTGTGTGGTCACGTCAACTGGGCACATCATTTCGGGTTCACGATACTCATGTGTGGCGGTGCGGAGGATGTGTTGTTTCATTCCATTGTGAAGTCAAACTCGAAATCGTTGCCCAAACTCCGAGAACCAAGCCTGTTTCCTGTCCTGTTCCGGCTGTCCTTGAAACGAGACGCATCCCTGTCGTGCGTTTTTGCCCCCCAGTCCCCGTTTCCTCTGCAGCCCTCATCCACCGGCAGCGGCAGCGGCGTCTCCCTACTCCTCGGCGAGGAGAGACTTGATCTTGTCCTGGACGCGCTTCTCCTTCTCGGCCTTGGTGGACTTGGTTTGTCTGTACTTCTTGGAGATGGCCTTCCACTCTTCCTTGGTCTTCTTGGGGCCGTCGCCCTCAACCTTCTTCCAGGGGTCGGCGCGGATGGCGGCGTGCGCCTGGGAGTAGAGCTCCTCGAGACCGTCTGCCTCGAGCCCGTCGTCAATGTACTTCTGGAACTGGCTCTGGTAGCGCTCCTCGTCGTCGTCGGCCAGAGTCTCCATGTACTCGGCGACGTGCCCGCCAAAGATGTACTTCTGGAGGACCTCGGTGTCCAGCTCCCCCGACTCCATGTCGTAGCCGGGGAAACGCTTCTCGGAGTGGGGGATGAAGATGCCGCCGTCAGAGGCGCCCTTCATGGCGCCAAAGACCCGGGCGCCGGTGGAGGTGCGGGCGAGGCCAACGTCGAGGAAGACCTTGAAGGGGCGGCGCTCGCCGTCCTCCGTCTCGACGGCCTCGGTGAGGGTGAACTCGCCGTCGGCCTCCTCGACACCGACAAAGTCCTTGTCGAGGCCGAGCTTGGACAGGGCCCGGCGCGCAATCAGGAGACCGGTGGCGTAGGCGGCGGCCCAGTTGGTCAGCCCGTGCTTGATGCCGTACGCCTTGAGCTCGTGACCGTACGCGGCGGCGAAGATCTTGTCGCCCGTGATCTCGGCGCTCACGATCTGCATGATGATGTCCTTGTTGGTGAAGCGCACAACTAGCCGGTACTTGGGCGCATTGTACTTGTTCTTGGCCTGCGTGATGAGGCGCTTGCGAGCGTAGTAGTCCGTCTTGCCGGAGCGTCTGCGCTTGTACTTGGTTTGGTAGCGGCTAACGACGAGTCAGTATATCTGTTTGCCGGAGCACGTCTCGGCGGGCGAGAGGAGGCCCGGGACCAAAAAAAAAAAAAAAAAAAAAAAAAACAGAGAAAGAAAAGCATACCTGTAGTAAGCGCTATTCTTGACCAACTTGTGGAAAGGCTATTTGAAAAATTCCCCGAGTCAGCAATTTGCGCTTCAGACTTGCTCGTCCTCCTTCCGAAGCAACTTGCTGTGACTCTTGTCCCGCGAGCAAACAGACCACAAATGTAGGCATTTCTGCCCATTCGTGTAGGAGTAAAACTTTTGCTCAGGACGATGCTGCCCTTTCGAGCGCTCGAATCCTGCAGATAGGCCTTTCAACTTACCATGTTGACGGTGATTACCAACGGCGGCTGAGAAGTGCTGCTGGAAGGTTGCGTGAGTTGGTGATGCTGAGCAGGAAAAATAGATTCCAGCAAGACCAATATTTTGTGGGGGATATTTTTGAAGCCCTAAAGTTGTGAAACTCCTGTGATTGGTGGTTCTCTCGAGAAGATGGCCCACTTTGAGGGGCAGCCGCAGGGGTGGTCGTCGAGTTGGGGTTGGTGACGACTCGCAGGACTTTAACGGAGTACTTTGAGGCGATGGATTGGCGGCGCAGACTAGTTACTACGTAGGCCATCTATGCAACCCGGTATCGTTGAGCAAGAGATGCGCAGCTTGTTCAATTGCACCCTTTTGACCCCTGGTGGTTAGAGGTCTAGGCCACATACAATCGACAGTACTGATGTTCACCATGGCCCGCGTCTGGTTCTGCCTCAGGCTGCAACGGACTGAAGCACGTTGGCCCGCCCCGCCTGAAAAGTACCGGGCCGCTAGCTCCTGTCGCAACCGAGGTTGTGACAAACAACTTTAGACCGCAAGGCCCTTTCACCATGGCCTCTTGTTCAAAACCACACACACTGCACGGCGCCGGCACCGCAAAGCACCGCCCTCGTCCTCCTCGTCCTCCGTGTCTCTCCTAGGCGCACGAGAACCCGCCCCGTAGACAGCAAGCAAATGGACGAGATGGCCGCGGCGCCCAAGCTGCCCAAAGTCCTCCTGTTCGACATTGGCGGCGTCTGTGTAAGCTCTCGCCCAAGCCGACCCGCGACCAAGAGAGGCACATCCAGCTCACCAACCAGGTCGTGTCCCCCTTCCAAGCCATCCTAGACTACGAAACCAGCCTCAACATCCCGCCAGGCTGGGTGAATTACTCGCTCTCCCGGTCCGCGCCCGACGGGTCGTGGCACAAGCTCGAGCGCGGCGAGATCCCCCTCGACGCCGCCTTCTTCGCCGGCCTCAACGCCGACCTGCACCGGCCGGAACGCTGGGAGGCCTTTTACGCGCGCGAGGCGGGGCGCAGGCCCTCGCTGCCGCGGGAGACGCCGCCGGTCCCGCGCCTCGACGGCGAGCGGCTCTTCAACGAGATGATGGCCCGGTCCGACGCGCCGGACCCGTGGATGCTGCCCGCGCTGAGGCGGCTCCGGCAGAGCGGGCGGTACATCCTGGGCGCGCTGAGCAACACGGTGATTTTCCCGCCGGGCCACGCGCTGCATCGGGGCGGCGGCGGGCTCGCCGACCCGGTCGGCGGCCTGTTTGACGTGTTTGTGTCCTCGGCGCACGTGGGGCTGCGCAAGCCCGACGCCCGCATCTACAGGCTCGCCCTGCGCAGGCTGGACGAGTTTGCGCGCGCCAATGCGCACTCCGAGAGGGGCAGGCGGCTCGGCTGGGGCGACGGCGTGCGGGCCGCCGACGTGCTGTTCCTCGACGACATTGGCGAGAACCTCAAGGCAGCCAAGGAGGAGGGCTTCGGCACCATCAAGGTCCGCCTGGGGAGGGCGTACGAGGCCGTCGAGGAGCTCGAGAGGGTGACGGGGCTGCCGCTCGCGGGGGACCATCCCAGGGCGGCCGTCGAGCCGCAGATGGGCACAGGCACGGGCAGGGGGTCGCGAAGCGCCAAGATGTAATACCAGCACTCATCTCAGATGGCACCGAGGACAAGCACGAGCGCCGTGGAATTCGCGAAGCCCCCGATCTGGTCGCCATGACGAGGGCAGCATGCCCCATTTCATAGCTTGACAGAGACGCACCGCAAACAAACAATGTCCCGCCACGACTTCTCCCCGGTAGCGCCGTGAGCCGTGACCACACAAGATAGGTTGAGATGCAGAGAAAAGAAAAGCACGCCTCCCACGCCCAATCGCATCGCTCAGAAGTGCCGGCGTGCCAACAATCGCCCTCGCGCATCCATGCCCAACTCGACGTCGTTGAAATCCCACGCCGAGCTGGACAACAAGCCCGTGAACCAAGCCGGTCCCGTGGCTTCGCAGCTGGTTTTGCCGTCCAAACAGCGTCGAGCTGCTGCGCCGGGAAGGCCGCGTGGTCCAACTTGTCGGACTCGAACTGCCCGACAGAAAGAGAAAGAAAGGGGGCGAGGGGAGACGGGGCAAGCTCACTTACACCGACAAGAGACAGCAGCAGCCCAGAAAGGCGCGCTGCTCCTCGATGGAATGCGCCTCGGTGGCAATCACGTCTCTTTTCGACTGGCGCAGATCCTCGGGCGCATCGTCTGCCGCTTTGCTGCAGCAGCGAAGGCGGCATCTTGGTGGTGCCCACGTTGTGCGCGTCCCCTGGCCCCAGGTACGTCAGGCTGGCGATTTGCTCGTGCAGGAGAGTGCAGAGATCCGCGAGACTTGCCGCGTCAGCGTACGCGCCGGCCGGAAGCGAGGAGGAGCAGGAGAGCCACGGGGAGTAGTAGGTAGCCCTGCTTGGAGACCGGCTCGCCGGCATGCAAACCAACGGTCCCGACCCTGCGGCAGATGCAGGTTCCGCGCCTCCCCGACAAGCATGTGCTGTCCGAGATGCGCCGGCACGTTCCCTGTCCCTCTTCATCTTGACCAGCCTTGGGATCGGGAGCGGCGCCGGCGCCAGAGTGACGACCCGGAACAGAAACGGCTTCTCGGCAAACATCTATCTTGCGCTCGCCCGCTTATCCAGCACCAGGGACGGAAAGCGCTCTATGGACTCGTCTCGGAACAGGGACAGGATGCGATCCGACCGCGCCCAAGTCAGTCCGTATATGACGATTTTGCCGTACATTGGATGCCCACCCTGATACCTACCACGGGCAGGCGGCGTTTCCGTCAGCTCGTCTCGGGCTTGCACCCTCTCGAGCCTCAATTCACGGGCCCTTACCCGTCGCAAACGCGGCGCTCGATATTGCTCTCCTGAAAATGACAGCGCGCCTTTGCCCGTGAGCACGGCACACAAGCCCTCTGTCGTTGGGGTGGGCTCTGCGCCCTGGGACGCGCTGTCGACAGGTCCGGACATGGCTGCCGGATGGTCAGGTCGACTGATGGTCTTTGGTCTCTGGAGCCTGGATGTTTTCTGTTGGGATTCCGCCTCGGTCGGTCGGTTGGTCGGTCGCCCGTCTCGGCTTCGGGCACAGCACGCGGCCTACATTTACTTTTCGTCTGCCGAGAATCGAGATGCTCCAGCGTCAGTGATCGCGCTGTTCGCTGGGTGGTTTTGGCGAATCAACGCTCCTTGCCATGAGAAGCGTCCTGTTAGTGTTACGACATACAAGCAGCGGCCGGGCCTGCATCTCCGGTGGGAGCAACTGTGTCCGGAAGTTGGGCCGGGTTAACACGTAGTCAGAGGTCATACTTGATCAAATTGGTGCTACATTTTCTCCTCTGGACCCAGGCAGCGACACGCAGTCGTTACCGTGGCCGGCCTTTGATTTTCATCTCAACCCGCTGCTGTCTCTACGCGCAATCCTTTCCCCCCTCCCCACACCGCCGTCATCGGCTGGCAAGCTTGGAAAACGTCTTGACAGGTCCAGGTAGTTGACCATGCGCCAACTCGCCTGCTTTAGTATACGTTGCAGCGTGTCCATGATCGTCTTCTGGGGCTAAAAGCCAGTCTGGCAGCGCTTGTAGAACCTGTCACCGCAGGGATTCTGTACCCTCGAGCACGCGCAAGGTCCATCCACTAAGTCGGTTTTCTTTGGTCCGAGATCTCAATAAAGCTGGCCACCGCCCCCACTTTGCTGCGATTGTGCCACAGAAGCCTGATGATGATTATTGCCCCTTGCCTCTTCAAAGGGAGCCCAAGATCCATCCTTGCCGACTGAAATGCGCGTCGTTTGTCCCTTCCCAAGGTCGAGTAGTGTTCCTGCGACGTGAAGAAAGTACGAGTCGAGACCAAGGCACTGAGGCCCCGCATATTTGCCGCACATGGGGCATTTCCATCCATCTGTAGGCGCGATTTCCGTGGTGCTCCTCGAATGTCTTCCATGGCGTGTTAGCAGCCATGTTTGCAAATCAAGGCATTCGCTATGCGTGCAATGGAGTCCTCGAACAGGCGTCTTGACCATTTCGGCGCTGAATGGATCCCTCAACGATATGGACACAGTGACGTCGTCGTCACGGTCGATAAGCCTCCTCCATATCTGCTTCTCCGTCTCCACAGCAGAAACAGCCGGCTTCTCAAACACCATCCTCAAAGTCTGTGTGAGATTCCTGGTTGCTATTATCTCAATGGCGAAATGAAATGTTGGCATTTCCCCCTCATGTTTCTCGGGATCCTGGGGCAAGCTTATTTTCACCACGTTTGACCCTTGTCGTATCATATCAGTGAGCTCTGCTGGAACATCTTGACGAAAATCCTTCGCCCTTCGAAGAATCACGGCTTCGCCATTCAACTCGATGTAAATTTCTGGTGGCCAGACGCAATCTGATGAAGCCCAGTCGACCATGTGGATTTCTCTGTCCGTTGGAAGCCATGCGCAAAGTCTAAGTCGATACCGCAGTGACATGTCCGCAGGCATCACTTCGAACTCAAAACTTTGATTCCAACTTTGCGGAGAAAGGAGCGTTGGCTTGACGGCAAAGTCAACAACATAGTGGTATAATTTGTTCTCAGGTCCTCCGGCACGGACAGAAGTGAAATCATTCTGGTTCCGAGGCCATTCGGCCCCTCCTGGAGCGGCACTTTGCTCTCCTGCCATTTCGGCTTGCATGTTTGCCGCAAATTTATTCTGTGTCTGTCGCTCCGATGGGTAGCGGCGGCTTTTATCTACCCGAGTGGCTGGTCGGAGGACCAGTGGTCCGAACTGAGGCTGATTTGCATTGGCACGCGCGCTTTGCACGAAGCGCTGTTGCCCAGATATTGGGCCCCGGTTTGGTTCGCGCCCTACTTCGAGTGGACGCTGCTGAACGAGGTGCCCAGGAACGCTTGATCGGTAGCCCTGGACAAATTGCGCCCCTGGATAGGGTGCGTTGTGAAGTGGACGTGAGCTGACGGAAGGTCCTGAAGTCACTGGTAGCACTGCTGGATCGTAGCTCTGGTTGACATTCGCGACGGGGCTTGACGGATTCTGTGCCGCTGTGAGGCCAGAGGCTGCCACTACGGCAGTTGTTAGCACTGGGCAATGGAAACAATGGAAACGCGCAAAAGAAACGTGATAGGGCAACAGGAGAAGTGAGGGCATTGTAAGCAGCGATCAAAGGTTCACCTACTGGGAACGTCGGTTTCGGGGACTCCGAGGTTTGCCACGGCGATGTACTGCCGTCTTATGATGTCCCGCGCCTCATGCACATGTTGCTGATTGCGATGCCCTAGCCAATGCATCTCATTTCTCCAATCGTTGTCGAAGACATTGGAGAAATTTGCGTTGTTAAGCATATTCCAAGGCCCGATCAGTGTCCAGCTATGATAACACATAAGGAACTGTATGTCTGGTGACGTCAAGTGGAAGTTGTCCCTCAACTCGTGTGACATGAAGGGATATCGCCTGTCACGAATATGAGTAAGCCATCCGGACCAGTGCTCGGCAACGGAGGTCAGGAATCTCACTACACGACTTGACATTTCGCAGAAAGATGGGTCGTCTTGAGCGACGATGTCAAAATCGAATGGAAAGCAGGCAAGCCACGTCAAAAACCGTTGTCGAATACCTCTATTGGGCCCTAGGACAGCAACCAGGGCCTCAAATGTCGGGCCGAGATATTCATGGCTGGAAGGCGGCAATATGCTCAGAAGAAAGTCCCGGTTTGTTGACCAAAGGCAATGAAACTGATAAAGGACTAGGCAGAAAGCGTCATTTTTTCGGCAAGATTCTCTCAGAAACCGGAAGCGCCATGATTCGGGGTCCGTACAGCCGCGACCAGGCCCATGTGAAAGGTTTATGTACTTGACGAGTCTTTGGCGCCATATATCCGTGGAGGCTTGCGCTATCACCTGGTCAGGTTGAGCCAAAGGACCGAAGGCTTGCCGGGCTTTCAGAAACATCAAGGCGTCTTTAGTGACCCAAGCATTGGGACCATCCCCGTCTATTGGTGGTGCTGGGTGCATCGAGGGATTGTTGAAGCCCGCCGCAGTCGTATTGACTTGCCGTGGCGGCCGCTGCTGCTTCGGCTGTTCCCAGCCGCCGTCCTGAGGAAGACCTCGTACTGCAGCACCGGCAGCACTGGTGGCCACACTGCCATCATTGGCGCAAGCATCTCGTGTGGTCACCTGCTCAGTCGCCTCACCTGCCCATGAGCCTCCATAGGCCATGGGCAGTTCTGCTGCTGACGATGGTGGTGGTGATGGAAAGCGCCTTTGCGGCTCGACCCCAGGCATTTCTGTTGCGACTTGGCCTGAATCTACTGGCGTTGGCGAAGGCGAGGGCGAAGGCGAAGAAGACGCAGGCCGAGTGTTCCTGTGACTTGTCAACAACACGCTCGTTGGATTTATCGGACAAGGGCTGGCAGGGCGAAGCCAAGCAAGTAAGTCATGGCAAACCACAAGCGCAATGGCCGCGGACTCAAATAGAAAACGGTGGCGGGAAAGCACATCAATCACATCATACCTCTCTGACATGCTAGTTTCAGCAACTCGAGTTGAATCTTGAGACTCCTGCGCTCGGCCCTGCTGCGCTGGCTGGCTGGCAGTTGCAATTCTCTCCCGTGGCAGCTCGTCGGCGAGAGGGTCTGAGGAACGCTTCGCCTTACGGGAAGTTGGTAGTTTCGTCCTAGGCTTCGATGATGGAGTGGAAGCGGACATCCACGCTGGCTGATGTCCGCCAATGAAGGCCAGGCTGGTCTTGTTTGCCGCTTCTACTCGCCTGGACTCCGCATCATGAGAACAAGGAGGAGCAGTATTGCCTCTGGAAGCTGTAGGTCTTGACATTGCGTGGTTCAGACCTTGAAATTGAACCAAGTCGGGCTACATGGTTCATTCTGAGTGGTCTTATGTTCGCCTGGCAAGAATCTGCAGGCAGCCGCCACTGGGCAACAGAAACAGGACCGGCCGGGGGAGCCCGAAGCCCAAAAACGCGGGGCAAGACGATATATCACTCTGCAGCTCGTGAGCCGTGAGGATATCGTGGTCTCTTTTGTGTGGTGAAGGACGGTCTGGACGCTTATCGATTCTTGATGCTGTGCCGTGCACACGGACATGGGTCTTTCACAAAGTCGCGACTTTATTCCACGGAAGGCGCGGTCCAGCCCAAAACCTAACCGGGTGTTGGAAGGAGCCAGAAGGCCACATGCCAGGCCCTCGGCCCTCAACCCTCAACGTCAACGCTCGAGTCGTGTCCGCTCTTCGTCTTCTTCGTCATTGGCTGGAGAGTTGATGAGCAGATAAAGATGACAAGGAATCATGATAATGGCCAAGCCGTTTGCCGCCCAATGTCATGCTGTGAAACCATCTGACACATCCACGCCAACGCCCCTTGGATGGAAACGTCTTTATTGCCAGCCCCGCCCTGTCCTCATTGGCCACTGACTGACAAGACGCCTTTGCCTGGCTTTCTGTTGTGATGGACTAGCTTTAGGAGCCATAGCGGGTGCCAGCCGCAGTCATCCCGGTGGTGCTGCACTGGCCCCGACCATCGAGCCAAAGAGTACGTAATGAACAAGCTGCCCGGCTCTTGCTCAATTGACGCTATATAGGTAAGTGCACGAAGAGGTAGGCTGTGTCCCGTCGCCTCGGCTGGCTATAGGTCGGGCTATAGCCCAGACCATAACATAAGCGTACAATACATACATTTCTAACAGGAGCTAAAGCTACGGATGAAAGCGTCGCCTGTACTCCGTAGGCAGTGACCACTATAGGCCAAGGTCCGACTCCAACCCACCAATCATCATCCAAAACAAACTTATCATCTTCATTACGGGAAGCTATGCGGTAAATGCTAGCTTCTAAGCCACAGCATTTCACAGGTCATAAACGTCATAAATGTACACTTATATATCTGTACGGCCCTGGATTCATCCGAGCGAGCCTGTGTATGAAAGGCTGCGCACATCACCACCAACTAAATAAAACTAAGCACCGACGTAAGGAGTACCGCCCCTGTTTCCAACGGAACTATCACCATATCAAACGCGGGTAAAAGTCCCAGAGAGACATGATAACTATGACGTGTGCTGGCAGAAGAATGGGATGAGTTCTCTTGTCATGGCCGATGCAGCTGAGGGCAGCCACCCGAAGAATGATAATGCCCCTCCGCGAAATACCAGGTGCCTAGATGTAGCCTTTCAAGGAACGGGATATACGGAGTACAAGTACAAAGCGGCTTTGTCACTGACCAACTGCCCGCCAGCCTGATACATGTCGATGCTGCCTGGTCAGTGGTGGCGACCAACCAACCAACCAACCAACCAAGACCATTTCTTGGGGTGCGAAGAACCTGATAGAAGGTGACACGAAAAGGCAGCTATGCGTCTGAATAGTGGGACTCGTCCTTGATTCAAGTACAGATCCATCTGGGACTTTGACCCCTCCATCGTTGGAGGCTCGCCTGCAACCGTTTCTCATTTCTACGGAAATCAAGTCAATACAGCCAGAGTTTGGTCATGGCTTACTCAATCTTGAAGTATCCATTCTAGGGCGTTGAAGATGGAGAAAGAGGAAGGGTGGGCAGCAAAGTCCTACTGCTCGACTACCTGCCTACCTACCTCCCCCCCATCTCGGTAGGAATACACAACGTCTAGAGCCTAGGTGTTGCACGGCCTTGGCGGTCCGAGGAAATTTGTTGGACGGACGGACTTGGCTGCATTGGGCCAGGACCTGAGTTGGTCACAACTCACCATAGCGTGGGGGATTGGGCAGACAGACATTACGACTGCGGAGTGACTGCGGAGCGGTAGTGCCCGAATAACAGACAACTATCTAGGTAGCCATCTCGGCGTCACGGCTGGGCCAAGGTCGTCTCGACTAGCTGATCTGTCATGGCAACTCAAGTATGTCACACCAGGGGTAGGTTCATTAGCAGACGGAGGACTCGTCTCAATTCTCCTCAGGGAATCAGTAGTCTGTGAGCTGCACAAGTTTCGGCTTGAAAAGTCTTTATTGCCCCGTGTCTTCCCTTCGTGACGATTCGTAGATTGACATGTTCCAAGAGGGCCATGTATGCATAATGGTTTCGTGGAGTTGCCCTTCCCTCAGCCTGCAGCCAGTCGACCTGGTAGGATGCTGATGCCTGGGTGATGTCACTCGTTCGGCTTGTTGCCTGATTGCAACCCGTCATTACTTACTTGGTGGATCAAATGCCCTCGGACGTATATATATACACGGCCAAACCATCTAGTCAGAGAGTGCTCGCGTGCTCTCCGTCAGGACGTGATGTAGTTGTTCACCTTGACAGGATTGAGTAGAGAGCCTCGGCCGAATAGTGCGGAAGGATATGTGTTGGCCACTGCAGTATGTGAATGCAACGGAGCCGAGCAGGTCTCATACCGAAGAAGAAGTCGGTTCGGGGATCTTGAGCCACGATGTTCGGAAGTCGGGTCATGCCCCTGTTTCAGACAAGGCAGGCTGCGGCAATCAATGCCCCTGGACTCTCGGGACGGTTTTAAGCTTCCGGGAAAGGGTCCAACTACTCTATCCCAGACACCCGTCGACACCAGGGCCGCATGTGAAGCGCGAGTACGGATGAATTCAATGACGAGGATGATGCCGTTTCGGTGAAAATTGATGACGCCTCGTCGAAGCGACTGCGGAGAGCGAGAGTGAATGGGGTCGACGATGTCACGACTCACGACCCACGAGTCATGGCTCAGCACGGGCAGGAATGGGGACCACAAAAGTAGCGGGCACTTGATTATCCATTATCCCTCGCGGGACGGACCTAATACAAGACCACATGCGGCGCGTACAGAGTCAGAGTCGGTCGAGTGTTGAGTCTTGACGGTGGGTTGAGCGGCAATGACGCTAAGCCGCGTTCGGCCGTCTCCGCAAAAACAAAGCGCCAGCCACCACCAACCCACCAACCGCGGCGACGGACGGTCAGGGAGGCAGGCAGGAGGGAGGGAGGGACTGACGTGCGATGGACGGTGGACGATGGACGGACCGGCCCATTGATCCTCCATCAACTCCATCGGCCAGGCCACTATACGGCGACCTGCAGCATTCGTCGCCTCTCGCTTCCATCCGGGGCCGCTCTGTCCTCTGTCAGCGGGCGGCGGTAACAAGAGGCCGTAGGCCAATTCATCACATCGTGCCGACATCCAACATTGCTCCCGCCATCCCAACCAAGTCCAGCCCCGGCCGCAACCAGCATCAGCATCGCCCAGCGCCCACCCGGCGCCTCCCTGCACACGCACACGTGCCACAGGGCTCAGGACTCGGGACGCAAGCAGGCCACGCCCACGCCCACCCCACGCCCACGCCCACCTCACGCCCACGCCCACGCCCACGCCCACGCCCTTGCTCGTCCTCGCATTATTCTTCCGGGAAAAAAGGGGAGTTGCGTCCCCACGTCGTCATCAGCCCGCGTCGCCCTGTGTCAGCGCCTCGCTGTCAAAACATCCAAAACCTTGACTTGGTATTTGCGGTTTAGTCATCGCATCGCCTCGCCCAACTCGCCTCTTCCATCGACGCCTTCCGAGTCCTTCTCTGCGCGCCTTGTCTACCGCCATCGACCCGACCATGGCCACGGCTACGCGGGGGCCCAGCGAGCCGCCGCCTCGCCCAGACGTCGGCGATACCCTGGTAGTAATTCGTACGTTGGCTTCCCCCCTTCCCTTCATGCTCCTCCGTGCCGCCTTGCGATCCGGCCCGCATACCTGCCTCGCTTCTGCTGGCATTTCCCTCCTCCACTCCGCCCATGGACCAAGGGCTGCAAATAGAGCCGCAGGCTTATACCTATTGTGCTGCACACAGATGATTTTACCGCCCGAAGCTCCGACGAGCTGAGTCTGTCCAAAGGCGACAGAGTCGAACTGATTGAGCGGGATGACGAGTTTGGTGACGGGTGGTTTCTGGGCCGTAACCTCGTCAGCGACAGCACCGGCCTCTTCCCCGAAGGTTGGCGCTCCGCCTTTCTGTCGGCTTTGGACCGTGTTCAATATTAACCATTACGCGCAGTATACACTCGTCCGACACCGAGGAATGTACCAGGCTTGCCCCCCTCGCAACCGGCGGCTCCCGCCCCGCCAGCCGACAACAATGACAATGTCGGCCAGCAACGCGTTGCGAACGCTCCTATAAGTTCGACACCAGTCTCAGAGCCTGCCCCGAGTCAGCCGCCCGCCAGCGTGGTCGAGTCAACGACGTCGCTGCCTCTACACATCAAGCCCGAAACCTCGGATTCCGCGAGCGTAACCACGGCGAGCTCGCCCGCTCCAGCAACGCGACCTACGCCCCCCCGCCAGAACCAGGACAGCCAAGTGCTAAACGACACGCTCAATGTGATTAATGAGCACATTACAAACCTGAGAGGCTCGCCCAGTAACGGAGGGCTTCGAATTCCAGGCGGAGTGAACGATTCCGGCAGCGAGTACAGCATGCCGCTGGACCACAGGACATCATACATTCAGGGCGAGGAGACGGACGAGGAGGAGGATCGCGAGCGCAGTCGCTCCGAGGTGGAGTCTTGGACTGCGGACCAAGTTGCCGAGTACCTCTTCACCGTTGGTGTTGAGAAACAACATTGCGAGATATTCAGAGATCAGGAAATCACAGGCGAGGTGCTCCTGGGAATGGACCAGAGCTCCCTCTTCATCAAGGCTTTTGATTTGGGTTCGGTTGGACGGCGACTCAAGACATGGCACAAGATTAAATCCCTGCAAGACGAGGCCAATAGCAACCAGCACACGCGGACAGCGCGGACATGGGGTAGCGAAATTGGCTCTGACGACGGCAAAGGAGCGAGAAGCCGGACGAACACCGCTGCAACCTCCATCTCGAATCGTATTTCAGCCCAGCGATTGTCTTCGGGCCAGACGGCCAAGGTCAGCCCCACGGCATTGAAGTCATCACCCCTCTCAGTACACAGCACCCACGACAGCCCAACCCGGTCCAGTCACGTCAAACGACCCTCGGCAGCCTCCGTGAGAGAACTGCACCACTCTCGTCGCCATTCCTCAACCGACTACCGCGCTCCGGCTCCACCGATGGCCGGTCTCATCCCAGGAACGACACCTCCTCCGTTGTCACCGGACGCAACGATGCCGAGTTCTGCAGCGCACAAGAAGCAAGCCTCGTTTGACCGAAACTGGACACTTGGAGGCGCGTTTGGCCAAACGGCTGCGCGACCTCTCTCGTCTGGTGGAGTGCAAGACTCGCGAACCGGCTCAGAGCCGGACCTTCAGGATTCGGCGGTGGACTTGGATCGGGGATATTTTTCCGGCACAGAGACGGATGGAAGACGACGCAATGTCTTGAAGAAGCGAGACGGAAACGCCCATTCAAGGCGATCTAGCTATGCCGAGGAGCAGCGGGTTCGCAGTGCCACGGCTCTGTCTAGGCACTCGAGGTTTGGCAGTGTTGATTCCTTTCGGGATCCTGGCCTGTCGCCAGCCGTGCAGAAATACTATGGGGTACAGTCGACGACGCATAGGAAAACGGCGTCGACGAACACGGCAGACTCTCTTCGTCCCGCGCCGCCGGCCAAGGACAGTCCGGCTGCGCCAATCGTCACGCGTATAGACAGCGGACTGAACCCTACCCGGTTGCCCGTGTCGCCACCCAACATGGGCGGCAAGCCAGGATTCGCGCCCGACTGGCTGACGGCAGTTGTCCACAAGCCCATGAGCAAAGGCCGTCCGGGCATGCGCGCGATTTCGGACAGACTCACAAATAGATCCAAGGACATGACAGCGCCCGAGCCGGGACTCGACTCGCCCGGACGCGCCACGTCGAGCACAGCTTCTGGGGAGCCCAGCATCGACATTGACTCCCCGGCCACTGGCAAGAGCTTCAACTCCACGCCAGCGAACAAGAGCAAGGGGAGAAAAAACAAGAAGGACACCAGCGCGTACACGCGAGGCCTTTTGAAAACTTCGCCCGAGCAGGCCAAGGAGGGCGCCGACTACTACGGATGGATGAAGAAGAGGAGCTCCAACCTGATGACGACGTGGAAACCGCGACTTTTTGTCCTCAAGGGCCGTCGTCTCGCATACTACTACTCCGAAGAGGATGACCAGGAGAAGGGCCTCATCGACATCTCCTTCCACCGCGTCCTGCCTGCAGACAATGAGCGGCTCACAGGATTGCACGCGACCATTACGGGCGCAGTCGGCGGCCCCAGCCTCCCGGCCACGGGCAACGAGTCGGACAAGGGCAGCAACGAGTCGGTCTTCATCTTCAAGCTCATGCCACCTCGAGCTGGCCTCTCGAGGGCAGTCAACTTCACCAAGCCCACGGTGCACTACTTTGCCGTGCCCAACATTCAGCAAGGGCGGCTCTGGATGGCGGCGTTGATGAAGGCCACCATCGACCGAGACGACGCGCAGCCCATCACGACGACGTACCAGCAAAAGACGATTTCTCTGGCCAAAGCCAAGCAGATGCGGCACCGGCCCCCCGCCCTGATGAACCTCGAGGAAGCCGCCGAGGATGAACCCAAGCCGGAGGGGACCACCAAGCCCCCCAACCACAACAGCCTGGGCATCTTTGGCGAGTCCGACAGCGGCGTCTCGGGAATGGACAAGCTCGCGGGCGTCGGCGTCGGCGTTGTCGCCACTGCCAACACCGAAGCCAACGGCGCGAGCGAAGTCGACCATCCTCCACCCTCCAGCGCCTAGGCAGCGCTTCGTCGCAAGAGGAAGTAAAGTAGCTTTTTTTTTTGTTGTTTTTAAATCTTCACATTGCCACCATCTAGATCTTGACAAGCTACGACGGAATGGGAAACGTCATGATGTACTTTTTTTTCGTTCTTTTTCACCATGTGTCATTTTTATCCTTCTCCCTGGCCCCTGGCCCCCGCCACCTGCCTGCCCCCCTCTTTTTTTTTTCCTTTCTTTCTTGTCATCATTGATTTCCCGCTTTACAACCTTTAAACTTACTAGATGGACGGGACGGGACGGGACGGGATGGGATGGGATAGGATGGGACGGGGTACGAGCGTGACAGGGAAAAAAAAGGGTCCCCGCAGAGAAGATTAAGCAGCGACGGGACTCCAAGGCGTATGCTACGGTACACGGCCTTTTTACCTAGTGCAATTTTTATCTTCTCTTCTGATCTTCTCATCTCTCTGTTGTTGACGGCTCGAAACGGCGCTCTGCGACTCCGATTCCGCCCGTGTCGTGTTTGTGTTTTGGGCCCGTACGCGGCCCGTGCCGTGGACTTGACCGTCCTGGCCTCGTCGCACACTCGAGCCACGCACCCACCGCAGCTCACGGAACCAGCAGCTCACGGTAAAATAGTATGTTCAACTAAACTACCTCCCTACAAGACGCGGACCGCGACGCCCCTGCGGACGACGGAAACCACGCACGCAACCGCGTCGTTTGCCTCGTGTAAATACAGCCTTCCGTGACCCGTTGTTTCCCAACACCATGCTCTGAATTTCCCAAACGCCGCAAACACTCGCCCCGGACGGCGTTTGGCTTGGCACAAATGAATGATAGTAGTAACTTCCAAAGCCCGGCCGCAAGCTCGGCTCTTTGCCTTCATGCTCCCTTGACCTTCTGGTTCATGCCCGTGAGAAGTTGTCGTATAGACGCCATCAGAGACTGCTCCACGCCTTCGAAATTGCCGCCCGACCCTGGACCCGACTCGCCTTCCTTGCCCTGGGCAACGATGCTCGCGTCGGCGAGGCCCAGAACGCGGTCAATGGCCGACAGGGCCACTGCCTCGGCGCGGACTGCTCCCAGTTTCTCCTGGGTTGCCTTGATGGACACTTCTTTGAACCCGTTCAACGAGCTGAGGACCCTGGGCTCAATCACGGGGGGCGTTTCTGTTGACGCGGACCTCCCCGGCGTCGGACTCATGTTCTTGTTGAAGCCGTCAATGACTTGTCGAATGCCCTTGATACAGATGGTCTCCATTCTGTCATTTTCTGTGGCCTCCGTCTTCAGACCAACGCACCGGTTCAAGGCGGACATGACTATTGCCTCGGCATTGGGACTGCGCGCCTTCTTCAGGTTTTCAACAAGACCATTTTTGAGCCCAACCACGGCCGAGAGCAGCCGAGGGTCAATGACTGGTCTTGCCGGCTCAGTGGTGGCCGCTGTGGCCGACGTGTGGCTGCTTGGTGCGGGCGTCTGTTGAGCAGCCGCCTGGCCGGGTGCCGTTTTGGCATCAAATGTAGCGGCGGCAGGCATAACTTGGGGAGGTAGCTGTGCTGGCGCTGGCGCTGGCATGCCGGGCTGTGCGCGTCCAGGCTCCGTCTTGACCAGGGCATTCGTCGGCGGCGGCGGCGGCGGTCTTGATGCATAAGGAGAACTGTATGCTCCTGGCTGGGGACCGCCAGGCTGCGCCCTTGCCGGTGCGGGCGGAGGACCATATCCAGCCAACTGCGTTTGGGCAACTGCTTGTGCAGCGCCTGGTGCTGGGGGGGTTGAACTGGGCTGCCCGGGGTGGGCGGATCCCCCTGCGTATGGTTGCAGAGGACGAGGTATCTGGCCAGGTTGAGTCGTGTATCCCGGGACCTGGTACGCCGGGATTGCTTGGTCCGGAGGATAGCCAGCGGCGGTTCCAGGAGGCACATGCTGAGCAGCGTTGTAGGGATACGAGTAAGGTCCATATGACTGAGCTGCCAGCGCTCTGTCGGGGGAAGAAGCCTTCCGCTTCTTTCCCGCGTCCAACTCGACGCCTGGGACCCGCGTCCAGCGGCCGGTTACCTCGTCCTTTCTGAACGCTTCGTTCCCGATAAGGTTGTGTCTGACGCTGCTCTCCCAGCCCTTTGTCTCTGTGTGGAAGTAGAACCAGGGATATCTCTGGCATATCCTCTTGTAAATCTGCTTCAAAGTCAAGCCACTCGGACCGGCGGCTGTCAGCGCCTCGTCAATAAGAACGCTGTAATTCTTATTCGGTTTCTGGAGCTGCTCCTCTGTGTAGTCCTCAATCTTGAGTTCCAGGGGAGGCGACTTGGACCGAGCCTTCCTCTCCTTCTTCTCCTTGGCCCTTCTCTCGGCATCTGATCCTTCGCCACCCTCCTCCTTGGGTTTACGCGGTTTATACTTGCGTTTCTCCGGACGTTCGCCACCGTCTTCTGGCAAGGGGTGCTTCCTTGGTCGACCAACCTTGCGTTTGATTGGTGGCTCGACTGGAGGGGCTTGCGGAACAGTCTTCTTCGCCATCTCTTGTTGCTGCTTTTTGAGTAGGCGCTGCTCTCGCTTCGACATGATGCCATTCTTGGGCGGCCTCCCGGGCCCCCGCTTCTTGGGTATCTGTAGTACTGCGGGATCGGGTCCCGCAGCCGACTCATTCTTCAGTTCAGAGCCGTCTCCGTGCTCGTCGCCCTCGCCGTCTTGGCCCTCGCTCTCTTGGCCCTCCTCTTGCTCTTCACCGTCACCCTCACATTCGCCTTCTTCCCCTTCGGACATTGCGGGAGGGCTGATCTCGACGTCGGACAGCTCATCACTGGTATCCTGGACCTCCCCATTGCCGTGAGATTGCTCAAAGTCAAAGCTCATTTCCTTTCCGCCAGAAGACGGACGTGTTTTGGTCACCGGCTCCTCCTCCAGATACTCCTCTGCGCCGGTGCGTCCCTTCTCAACGCCGTTGATGATGAATCGGAAATCCACGTCCTTGATTTGCAGGCGATCACCACACTTTAACACAACCTTGTCGCTCTTGTAGTGTACATCTTCGCAGAAAAAGCCATTCTTGTGCAGAGGATGAGCCTCAAAAACGCCCTCTTGCTGATTGTAGACAACCTTGAGATGTTCTCTCGAGATGGCCTTGGTTTTGCCTGCAATGTTGGGGCCGGGGGAGTGAATGCCGATAAACGGAACATGGTAAGGCGATGGCCGGAGAGAGCTCAAGTCGACGGCCGCCGCGCCAGGGGTGTGTGACACGTATTGGCGATTGGAGATGATGTCCTCTTGAGATTCCTCGTTCTCGTGCTGTGAAGACCCGTTTGTGCTTGTTTTCCGTCGCTTGGGCGGTCGCCCACTCTCCTCGCTATCAGATTCAGGGCCCAGCATTCCACCTTCCTCGCTGACATAAGACTTGCTAAACTTGCCTCGGTCGTGGCGAATAGGTGACGGGGGCGGCAGACCCTTGCTTGCATTTTCTTGCACCCTGCGCTGGTGTTCTTCTGCCCGTTTCTCATCACGTCGGGCTTGTTCCAAAGCTCGCTGGTCACGGCCAATAATCACGGCATACGTCGTCATCTGAAAGACGCTGTCTGCGAATTCGATACGAGCAAATGACTCGAGTCCCTTTTCTGCGTTGGTCTGGCGCAGGGCATTCGCTGCACCGGTGCCGTTGATTCCATCATCAAGAAGAGTTGGCAACGTCACCTGGGATGGCGTAACAGTAGGCGGCGGGGACATGGGATTCTGGGCTCCGGACATGGAGGCAAGAGCCATCATCATGTAGGCATGGTTGTCGAGAGTGGCCAAGTGTGAGGGAGTAAAGGGTGTGGCGGGAGGAAACTGCTCGCTGGTAGCAACACAGGCCATGTTTGGTTGAGAAGAAGGGGGATGAGGAGAAGAAGAAGAAGGAGGAGGAGGAGGAGGAGGAGGAGGCGGCGGAGGCGCAAATGCTGGCTGTTGTGATGGTTGTGTTGGTTGTGTTTGTGGTTGACTTTGATGGTGTTGCGGCTGCACATGCTCTGCTTGGATTTGAATTTGTTGATGCGACATGGCAGTGTCCCCTTCGGCATCTTTTGGGCCTACGGATTTGGCCTGTTCCAAGGCAGTGTCGCTAGCGTCTTTCGTGGACTTGTCCGGGGCAGGTCTCGGAGTGGTTTGTCGTGCGTTAGCAGTGGTCGCGTCACTACTGCGGTTCGGTGTGGAAGGCGACACGCGGTCCTTTGCGGGCTGCGCAGACTCGCCTGCGTCGGCAGGCATGTAAGAAGCAGCAGGTTGCTCCCTAGATGTTGTCTCGGCCGTGGCGGCAGTCGCAGAAGTCGCAGCCGTCGTGGTCTCGGCGACAGCATCATCAGGCGCAGTCACGGTCGCAGTCGCGGGGGGGGGAATCGCGGGGGACATGGAGGCGGAGGCGCCTGTGTCCAGTGACTGCTCGCCGCCATTGCGGCCGTCACTAGACGAAGTCATCGCTGCTCGGTTGACAGCTCCTTCGCCCGGTTGGGAGGACCGACGGTCGTGGTGCAAGGTGAATGCGATGACGGCGCTGGCTCGCGATGATCCTGGGATGATGTTGGTTGACGCCTGGGGCAAAAAAGAATCAACTGAGGCGGCTGGCGGCGTGACCCCCTGCCAGCCCGGGAATGCTAGTGGCGCCGTGAGCAGTCGTAGCCACTGCCTAACGGGGCGGAGGTACCTGGGTGGTAGCTTTTTAAGCCGCCAGGTGGTTAGTGGCCTGGGCATGACAGCAGCAGGTGCGGCCTTCCTTCCTTCTTGCCCACCCAAATGCAGGAAAGCGCCTCGTCATTGGCTGCGCGTCTGGCTCCTCACAACTCCGTTAGTCGCCCAGTCGACGCCATGACCCGCCCTCTCTGGTTTGCCACGTTCGGAGTACTGAGAAGGAAAAGGAACGAGTGTCATTGTCCACGTCTGCTCCTTTCACTTCCAGGGCACCGTTCACGAATCACATTGACTGCCGAACAAACCCTTTCGTGCCGCTGGCGGACGTCAAAGGCTATCTGTCGCCAGGCGATACAAAGACATCCATTGGGCAGGGTAGCGGCTGGGGCCCAGCATCACCAGGTCGGGAGCCTCTCCCCTGCTTCTTCTTCTTCTCCCCCCTCCAAAAAAAAATAAAAGAGAAAAGTCAAGAAGTGATCCATGCCAACTCAGCCTCGATGCCTTGAAAGGCACAATAGCTGCTGAAACGTCCCATGCGGCCCGTTGTTCGACCCAAACATCGTCAAGCCACGTCCATGTTCGACTCGTCAATGACCCTGACCCAAAAAAGGAGCTTCGCCAGGTTCGTCCGGCTTCCCGATTCGTCAATGTGTCCGCCAAGACCCGCCACAGCCGAGCGCTACGAGCCAATGCATTCTGCCTCCCGCCATTGTTGACTGAACTCGAATCACCAGCGCTTCCTGCGACAATCGCCGTATAACACAGACTGCCGTCACGGTGCCTGTCAAGCGTATCAGTAGGCGCCCAGTGAGCCGGAATCCGCTCGCCTTTAATGTTGAAAGATGCCCTAGCCTGGGTACTTGGGGTAGATAAAGCGGCCAGGCCTCCTCTCACCCCGCCGCCGCCGCCGCCACCCCGACGAATATGGCTGGCCAGGAAGCCGATATCATTCTGTCCAGCAGACCATGTTTTTCCTTGGTCATTGTCTTGTGTATTTCTTATAAGTTGTTGCATTGCGGCGTAGCGCTTCTTTTCCCTCTTCGCCTTGTTCGCCTTCTGCGTCCTCTCCCTCCTCGTCTGCTTGTTTGGCTGGGCCATCCATCCATATCTTTCTCCAGCATCCTGGCTTGTGTACATCATCGCCGCGGTCGTCAACATGCATTTCATTAAGCGCAACCCGGACAACAAGTCACATCGGACCAGCTTCGCCACGTACCCCCGCTATGTCCGAATGCTGTTGCGTTTGGACCAGGTGCCCTTCCTGCACAACGCCTTCGCCGCCTTCTTCGTCTGGCTTCTCCTCGCCGGCTTCTTGTTCTTCCCCGGAACCTTTACCTCGATCCGGAAGTCCATCGAGAACAAGAACACGAATACCATAGGGGACCAAGCCACCGAATTGTTCGTCAAGTCGGTCAAGAACATTCCCCTGCTGGTCATTGCCGCCATGGCGTGCGCAATATCCGTCGTCGGCATGGTCTTTCTGGCCTGGAAGCACAGGGATAACTACGTCTGGCTGCAGAACAAGCTGGTCATCCCAGGTGTTGCCAACTGTCTGGCCGGCCTGATCTCGACCTTGGTGGGCGTCTACTCGCAGCAGAAGGGGGTTTGGAGTCCGACGGCAAAGATTACCGCCATCGTGGAGGGCTCTTGCTTGGGCATTGCGGCTGGGCTGTTTTTGATCGTTGAGAGGCTCTTGAGGAGGGTCAGAGAGGAAAACACGACACACTACAAAAACTCGTCGCTTCGCTGAGGGCTCCGGCCCGTCGCAACTGAGAAGGGATGCTTCTGTAGAAAATGGCTGTACATAATAGACGGAACCGGGAGAGGAGGCAGGGGGCCGGTCAACGCGCAGCGCGTATCACATCATGTGGATGGAGGAAAAAGTAACGGCAGGAAATGTGGCTAGACGTACAAAGTTCATCATCACTGAGCAAGGGGGCTCTCTCCCCCCGAATCAAACGGCTCCTGATCCTCTTGTTGAACCATGCGGACGCCCTATAAGCCCAGTGGCAAAGCATGCCGGCTACAAAGCCGACGGCGTCGTTGTTGAAAGTCAGAACGCCCGCCGTGGTCATCAGCATGACGGTCCATCGCTCCAGTCGCTCGTCGTCGCCCAAGTCTCGATGGGCCCTGGCGGCACTGGCGGAACAAGATTCACCAGCTAAATTTTCCCACAGGTCAGGAGCCCCCCTGTTGAGCGAATGACCTACCTTGGCCAACTCCAGCCCAGCGGCGAGCACCATGATTCCAAGAATACTTCGAGGATACGACTTTAGCAGGCCAATCAGCGTGTCGCCAAAGACCAGGCCGAGAATCAGCTTGGCGACGCCCAGGAAGATGACGCTGGCGCCGGATCGGGCACCAAATCGCCACTGGGCCGCCAGCCCCCCCGCGCCGTGACAAACGGGCATTGCGCCGAACCAGGTGCCCGCGAGATTCATGCACGCGACGCTGATGCCTACGGACGTCGCCGTCGGAGCGGGAAGGTCCGGAAACAAGTCGGCGGCGAGGGCGGTCACGGCAATGATGGAGTTGAGCGTGGTGAGCGGCAGTTGTCCGATGGCCATCCACAGGGCCGGGGCATCGCCGCGCGGGCCAACCCATCTCGGCAGGTGGAAACGAGGATGCCACACGTGGACTGACGGCAGACGATGGCGAGATGTGACAACCGCAACGACGGCAGAGACGACGGCCAAGACGAAGAAGGCAAAGGCGTAGGGGAACCTCGGGAGCCGCTGGGTGGCGACGAGGACGAGAAACGCAAACAGTGCGCAGATCCTGTTGTCCAGGACGGGATGCGTCCAGTGCAGCGGCTGGAGAAGAGAGGTCCCGGCACCGACGATCAGAGACAGGCCGGCTCCCAGCTGGATGCCCTTGACGACGGGGACCGGGACGGCGGACGCGGCCCATGGCAGAAGACGCGTGGCGCTCATGACCAGAACGGCTGCTCCCACCCACTGGCCTGCCGCGAGCACGACTTCGATGGGTGCGTCTTCCCCGTTGGAGATGGCTGCCGAAGCAATAGCCTGCGCGGAGAGGAGTGTGATTTTAGCCGTGGTCGTGGTCGTGGTCGTGGTCGTGGCCGTGGTGTCTGGGGCAGCAGTGACTGGCTGCACGTACCTTCATGGGCTGGACGGGCAGAGGAATGCCGTACACGACGCCGGTGATGATGTTGAATGCCCCGGAGAAGACGAGCGTCGAGCCCAAATGGACGGAGCCTTGCACCGCCAGAGCAATCATCAGCGGCAGCAGAGTGCCGAGATCACCGAGGGAGCCTGACATCTCAGCCAGGGGCGCCCGTCGAAAGGTCGACACGTTGTGGGCGTTGACACGACGCACACGGGCCAGCCACGACGCCATTTGACGGCGCGGCGTGAAGTTTTTCGCGGCTCGCAGCAGGGGAGACGTACTCGTGCACAGATGAGAAATGATGCGACGCATCAAGGTTCAAGACGCTATGCCGTGAGAGCCGTGTCGCGGCACCTTCTCCCCGCGTCGATGTACAGTGTGCTTTATGGCTGCACTGTACGCCTACACCGTTGACCTTGGCGGTGACACGACTACGGGCGGCGCGCCGTTGCCTGGATCTCGAGGCATTGGTCGAATGTATAATTCATGGCCGCCGACAAAGGAGTGGCAGTTGCGAGGTCATTTCTCATGCGCCTGGCGATTCCGTTGGGTTGCCGCTAGTAAGGAGTAAGCTGGTCACCTCGCCGGGAACTAAACGGACAAGAGAAACCAGCAGACCTTGCAACGTAGCATGATGGGCAGCAAGAATCTCAGAAATGAAGGAGCCTCCTTGTACCCTTCCCGGGCGGTTCTCCCTCCGTATGCTCCGTGTACTGCATGGATCTATCATCTGGCCGTCCCGGGGACCCTTGTCTTGCAGGAGCTCCTTTCAGCATCACCAGGCTGGTTAGGCAAACAACTAGCCCTTCTAGTCCGGAGAACAAGGGCAAGCTAGAATGCAGCACTGCGTGTTTCCGGAAGCGGCTTGATTGTCTGCCGCCTGCCCAACCTGCGTGCGGCGGCAGCGGTGACGTTGTCGGCCAAGGGCACATCATGTTCCCGACAAAAAGGACTCGAGACACGGCGGCGCGTCTGTTCTCAATACCCGCGATGTTACGGAGCAGTTGGTGCCTACCTCTGCGAGCACAAAGCAGCTCTGGAGCGGCGACAATTTCCCCGGCAAACAAAGCACAACAGTCGCCTTTGGTTTCCAGCTACAGATGATACCCGTATCGCGTCATTCCAGCTCGCTTAACCTGTGATTGCTGGGTTCCATCTACTTGACGGGGACGGATCAGCGATGGCTTTCCCTCGGAGCCCATCATCACACAGCCTCCCAGTCCCTACCGGGGCAGCTAGAACAGGAATCGCAGAGACTAGGCAGGGAGCAGCCAGCAAGCCGGCCTCGTTGGGTGCTGCAAAATTCGCGCAGGCAATCTCGTCCATGGCCTTTGAAGGAAACGCACCCCAGCAGAGCCCACGGATCCACCACACGGGAACCACAAGTCATGTCATGACCGTCTCCAGCAGAAACGGCGGGACAAAAGGGCTTTTTTTTATCCCTTCAGCGCGGCATATCTTTGCTGAGCTATATTCGCGGCTGGCACCGACGCGCTAGTCGCCAGCGCCATGCTGTCCAAGAGCGAATTTCTATTCAATGCCGGCGTTGTACCCGTGACGTTTTTTGCGTGCTGCGGCATAAAGTTGATAACGAGTCGTCGTGTGCCTGCCTACTCGAGTCGGCAGTCACGTTCTGTTGTCTGTTGTGTTGTGTTGTGATTGCCACGGAGCCGGATGGCGTCGTCTCTGGACTCGGCATGCTGCCCAGTTCCAGTCCCAGTTCCAGTTCGGCCGGCTCGTCATGTGCATCCACGTCCCCGCTTTTTCTCTTTACCCGCGGCCCTGGCACTGGCTGGCAGTGGCCTGGTAACCACTAGTACTTGAGTACTTGAGTACGGAGTACTTGAGTAGCGACGAGCAAGCAGCCCGGGGCCGCCAGACCGATCGGCAAAATCGTGCAGCTTCCGCACGTACTTAAGTTGTTGTTGACGCGCGACCCGGACCAACTTCCGCCTCCACCTCCATCGCCATCGCCTCCGCCTCGGCGCTCTCACTCCCACGGCCAGCCCAGCACAGGTGAGTAAGTCCGTCCATCGCCAGAACGAGCCGGCCGCCGCTGCCCACGACCCGTCGATTGCTTCCGACGCCGTGTGTCTGGACCCGGCCTGCGGCAAGCAGCACGCCGACATGGTCAAGCTCAAGCTCGATGAATTGATCCCGTCGCCCTCGCGCGTGGCTGTCCAGTGCTGACGTTTTGCTTTTCTCTGCCCGCGCAGCAACAGAGCAACCCGTCGCCTCTCGGCTCCAACTCCCCAAACAGCCCCATGGCCGTCATCAACACCGCGCTCGTGGCCCGCGAGGCCATGCGCACGCTCGTCAAGCGCAAGAGCTGGCCTGCCGAAAATGCCGGCGTCATGGTCGTGTTCTGCATCGTCTTTGTCGGTATGCAAAACGGATGCCCTTCCCCCTTCTCTCCCCCCTTGACGTGGGCCAATTGGATACTCAATGGCCGACGGCGACGGCGACTTGGTCACCGAGGAGCTCGAGAGTGTCGCATCATGGTCTTGCTGACGGGGACCGCCTCTAGTTGCCGTCGGTCTCATTGCCCTCTGGATCACAAAGTTCCTCGCCCGCCGTAGGGAGGCCAGGGAGCGCGCCCAGAACAAGTACTAAGGCGGCCAACGCTTGGTTCTTGATTTTTTTGTTTCTTTCCGCGGACGGTTCGCGCCGGCCAGTTGAGGCGTGGACGGGCTGCTCGCGGGAAGAGAGGGGAAAGTCACCAGGAGAAAAATGGAGAAAGAGAAGGGGCATCACGGCGACGGGTCTTGCGCAATTACTAGTCGCTGTCCAGAGTCGTCCCGCGGAACCCGACTTTCTCTCCTGCTCGGCGCCGAATCTGCAAACGAATTGCAGCCGACCACGTCGAGTGTTTCAAAATTTCGAGTCTTCTTTTGGCTTTGCTCCCTCGAGTGTCGTTTTATCGTGCGGGCACCGTGTATTGGTCACTGTACATGGGTTATTCATCATGTTGTGGTCGGGCCGGCCGGGGGAGTTGATTATGTGAACCCGAAAACTTGGTGTGCCGGGGTGCCCCGTGGCCAGACCTTACTGTATTTCTATATGCGTAATGCTGATTGATACCTCTAAATAAAAGCCCTTGGTGTGCGCGCCATGTTCCCCTACCCAAGTACGATGTGGATGCCCGCCACGGTCCTGCCCCCGGCATGCCTCACGTCGAGGCGCGGCATGTCTTGACTCTTGACCCCCTGACCCCTCGGCGCGGAGAACAAGCTCACAGTCCCTCTCGGGCCAGCATGTCGGCAATGTCGAGATAAAACGCCACGGCGTTGAACCTGTTCCTCACGCCCATCCACCCCCTCACCATCCAGCGCAGCCTGTTGGGCCAGTTGATCAGGTCCAGGTGGTTGACGCCGACCAGCGTGCCCTGATAGACGCCCCATTGGGCGCTGCGCACGCTCACGAGCCCGTCGTTGGGGCCCTCCTCGCGCCGCACGATGCGCTCCGAGACGCGGAACGGGCTCAGCAGCGGCGGCGGCGCGGCCACGGCGGCGCCGTAGGAAAAGTACCGCACGCCAGGGACGTCGGGCGTGCGGGCGTTGAACTCGCGCTCGACGTGCGCCGTCGTGAGCTGCGCAAAGGCGCCCGTCGACAGGCCCGCGCGCTCCAGGACCCGGTACAGCCGCGGGAGGTACAGGATGCCCGACGACGAGCGCAGCACGTAGTCGGCAAAGGGGGACCCGCGGTGCGGCGTCGACACCGTCGTCAGCGAGGCGACCTTGATCCCGGCGGCGGCGGCGGCGCCCGGCCGCCCCAGTATGTTGGTGATCATCCAGCGCGCGTCGAGGCCGCCCATGCTGTGGGCGACCACGTTGACGCCCGCGGCGGTGTCGATGCCCGCGCGCGCAATCTCCTCGGCCAGCCGGGCGGCGCGGACGGGGATGGGGCTCGACGGCGGCACCGAGGTGGTGATGACGGTCGCGCCCTGCGCGGCGAGTGCCTCGCGGATGCCGTGCCAGTACTGGATGCGCGGCAGCGGCGGCACGTGCAGCTCCGAGAAGCCGAGGAGGCCGTGGGCCAGGACGATGGGGTGCTTGGGCGTCGCTGGCGAGGACAGTGGTCAGCTGGACGGAGCGACGGAGACGTGGGATTCCCGGGGACTTGGCATGGACCAGACGTGCCGTAGTGTTGGCGGATGGAGGCGTAGTCGTCCTCGATTTGACGCCCGACGTCGCGCGTGCGAGGGTCCTCCGCGCGCTGTTGGACCCGCGAGCTGCGTGTGAATTGGCGACGGGGGGGATGCGCGCCGAGGGCGGCGGCGGCGAGCAGTGCGCCTCGCTGCGTGCGTTTGCTCATCTCGGCACGCGTTGTTGCGTCGAACATCTCGGGATGCTGGGCCACGGTGGGTTTATGGACCTGAGCCGCTGACGTCATTGGATGGAGCTTGGATGGAGCTTGGCGGTGCTGACGACGTTGCAAGTTACATGTCGCGACGAGACTTGATGATGCGCCTTGGTCCATGATAATGACGCCGTGTGCAGTCTTGCACTGGCGAGTTATAAACTCTTCTTATTAGGTGCTGCTTTACCAGACAGTCTCTTATTCATGTAACAACCTGGCCGCCCTTCTATCGTGAAGCCACCGCGCTGGAACACCAACTCCTGCTCTCCCCCCACTCCAAAAAAAAGAGAAGAAAAGAAGAAGAAGAAGAAGAAGAAGAAGAAGAAGAAGAAAGAAAAAAACAAACGTCCGCTGTACACCCTTTTCATGCCGTCGTCACTGCGTAATGAGTACCCCTGTTACCTCTTCTCCCCGGGCATTTGACTCGGCGCGTTCTCGTTGGTAACGCCGCTGTATGCTGGCCGGGACTGCATTCCTTCAAACGGCCCTGACATGTTCTCGGCCATTGCTTCGTCATAGCTCGGCGGTGCGTCGTCGTATGGCGGCACCGTTTGTCCAGGCAGTAGCTGAGGGGGGTACAGCGGATCTTGTGGTGGCCGCTGTGGTACTTGCGGTCTCGGCGCATGGGGCTGGTTTGGATTCGACGCCTGGTTCTGCGTATGCGGCGGGCCAACTGGTGAGTTGGCCGCTGAATTGCCTGGCCTCGGGGGCAGTCGTGGGGGAATGCTGAGCGTCGCCCGGCCGGGTCGAGTGTTTCTGGCGGCCTTGACAAGCTCCGGCGGCGGCGTTATGCCCGAGAAGACTTCCGTCGCTGCAAAGTGCAGTGGGAGGAATATTGTCTGGGGGGCGTTGCTGATGAAGCCCGATTTGGCCTTGCCCCAGCACAGTCCCAGCTTTATTTCCACCTCATATCTCCGGGATAGATTGCAGGTGACAAACGACGGCGCAACGGTATTGGGGAGCGGCTTGTCTTTCCACAGGCCATCCGGCACGACGACTTCGGAGCCGACTTCTGCGCCTGGCCCCGAAGTCAGGGGGATGTTGAGATCGGCGTTGGAGACGACGACCCAGCGGTTCATCTTCCTGTTGAAGATGTTGTACGTCCGCACTTCGGTGATTCCAATGAGGTCCATCTGGAAGGAAATCAAATTGACTTGTTCCGGACAGTTGGTCAGCTTTTTGGCGATTAGCCGCAGAGGGATGGGCTGGTTGCATGTGAGGATCGAAGGGTGAGGAAGTCGAGCCGACATCTCGATGGACGGCGCCGGGGCCGCGTCTGGTGAGTTGCTGCTGGAACCGTTGGCACTCGAGTCGTTATTGCTGCTCTTATTCTCACTCTTCTTCGCGAACAGGGGGTTCTTCCTTTTATTTTGTGGAACGGGCGATCGCGGTCGAAAGGCAAACGGACGACGCGCAAATGCTTCTTGGCCAGTTAGTTTCGGCCTCGGAGGCTCAATGGGCAGAAACTTGTATCCGATTTGGTATCTCCAATTCTCCTTGAGAAAACCGGGACGCTGGACCGTGACCTTGATGTAGTAGCGAATCTCAGCTTCCATGGGATACCCCGTCAAGGACGGCGGGAGAGTCCGCGTGACATGTTGAAGGTGTAGCTGTTTCGTGCCATCCATGACTCGAACTCCACCCATGCCGAAGAGACCGCCGCCGGATCCAAAGCCGCCTACGCCCGCGAGGCCCCCAATCTTGGACATGGCCATTGGGTCGCTGCAGGCATTGTTGATGGGCAGCTTGAACTTAAAGGGGAACTCGTGCTCCCCCGGCTGCAGCGGAAAGGCGCCATAAGGGTTCGAAGAGCTTGAATGGTATTCGTCGGGGAACACCTGCTGGACCTTGTACAAAATCTTGTGGTTTTCACTCACGATGCTGCCGGGTGGACCAGGCAGCGGACCAGTCGGTCTTGGGCCCGTCTCGTCATAAGGATTCGGGACTTGGAGCGCAGTGACAGATTCTCCTTCTAGCTTCACGACTATGCTGCCCACCTGTTCCGAGCGACTGAGCCCGAGGATGATGCGTCCTGTTACGTGGTCGAGGTTCGTGAAGAACTCGGGCGGATTGTCGAGAGCTATGCGGATGGACATTTTAGATGACGGTGCCCAAACACCTCAGGTGGTAGCGCATAAGGTCTGTTGCGGCGATGACGAAGGACAAGGCAAGGCTAACGGAATGGAGTGATAAATAATGCTGCAAAGTCGTGTGCAAATCCTCTCGTTTGCGTCGCGCCCGAGCCAACGTTTGCCGTTTGCACGATGGAAACGGTGGCGCTGTGGGAGAACAGGCGGATGGATCGGCTGCGCGGACTGCAGGGCAGCGCGAGTTGGCCGGGGTCGGAATAGAGGCGCCGATGGGCTGTGGATGTCTCGGCCGGGAATAGTTGTCGCTGGAGAGGAGCTCGAGAGATGTTGCACAAAGCTCCTCGGGGAGAGGCGCTGCCGTCGTCATGGTTGCCGTCGTGGACATCAACTTGCGTGGGTTAAGCCTCAGCCAAGCCTCAGTCGAGGGGTCGAGCGAGCGCGTGTGGCGAAGCCAGGGGCGTGTGGGCTCTGTGGCCGCGCGCTCATTGGCGCGCCCGTGGCTTCGCCGCTTTTGTTGCCGCGGGCACTCGAGCTTGACGCCAAGCTGGCTGGCTGGCTTGCGGGTGCGAGTGGGCTGAGAGAATGCGAGATTGCAAGTCGGCCACTGAACCTATATTTGCCTTCATTTACAAGATGTTGTCGGGTGCTCTACCGTCGGGCTGAGGCGAGGGCAGGCACAGGAGACAAGGACGTCGGTTTGGCACCGGTAACGGGGCTGGGGGTTCGTTTGCGTTTGTTTGCTCGGCACACCAGGGTATACTCCGTAAAGAGCCTGGCATAGTACCCCGTACGGAGTACCTGTTTAGGTACGGAGTACTCGGCCATCCAGGCTAGGTACCTAGGTAGTTATTGATTGCCCCACAGTAGCATGTGTCCCTTTTCGTGCTGGTCCGTCTTCTGACATGTCACTGCTACCTAACTTACCCACGTAAGTACTCTGCGCCTGGTGTGATGGTGCAAGCACCAGCCTGCATTCTCTAGACCAATGCGCCTTCCTCAGACATCCAAGCAAATGCATCATGCCTGGGGAAGTACGGAGTAAGCCGTCTTCAATCTTAAATTTCATGCTTCCTAGACCGGACTCCCTGGTCCATCACCTCGTTTTCTTGTCAAACCTGTCGGTCCTAGGTGCCGCAAGCCCGCTCACGCAGATCACAGGAACACGAGCCCATCAACCGCGCTTGAACCCTTCCTTGTCCTCAAATCCCACTTGTCAACTCTGCAGGCAGGGCGCCCTGACAGTTTCGTACGCTGCACTCCGCATGTCCTTGTCTCCCCTACTTACCATCAGCGGGTGTGCTTATTAGGAATTACTACTAGCCGGCATTCAGAAGTTAGAACCACCTCCTCGCTCCCCGACATTCTCACAAGGTCGTGGTGACACAGTCAAAATGTAGCGCGCATCACTCCTGTTTCCGAAAAACGCCAAAGACGCCAAAAACGCCATCCGGAAGGTGTCTGCCGGACATGGAGTGGGCACATGGTACGCCTGGCTGGGTATTTGGATTCGGGAGGTCATTCATTCTTCCCTCTGCCGACGGATGATGCCAGGAAATGGTACCGCCAAACCAGCAAGTAGATTAATTAAATGTTTCCAATCACCCTGGCTTCTATGAATAACCAGGGAGCACAAGACCAACACGCTCCCTCTCGTTGCCATCTCCTGTGCTACTCCTCGTGGCACCACCAAACGCAAGTCGGCCTGTTCCGCTCTCTCACCTTCAATATCTGGCCAAGACGTCACCGACGCAATCTGCGGACTCTTGTGTTCTGTTGTCGATGTCTGGCAGCGGCAGCAAACCAACCAACCACATGTCCCCCATCACCAAACCCCTGCTTTCAAGGCGATGTTGTACAACAACAGCCCTGTGCTGCTAGCACAAATCTTGGGCGATGCCCGTCGTCGTTCATACTCGTGGACCTGAGTTCCGGGGAACGGCACATTTCTCAACCCTCCCGTTGCTGCTCGTCGGCTGTCCTGCCCAGCACTTTTAGCTTATCACTTCCCTCAGATCCAGACACGGCGAGTGATTCTCGTGCCTCATTCATGGTGCTTGAGGGCGACGGCAGAACCAGACTACTGGGACCAATTTCGTTTTTCTTGCGTTTGCTCCCGTGTTTCGGCCGGAGCATTTGGACACAGGGAAGCCATGTCGCACAGAAGCCATGTCGGAATAAGATTCCGTACTCTCTGCTTCTCGTCAACTTTGGCAATAGGCCATCTTTTGAGCTTTCTCGGCTTTGTCGGCAGAGTTTGGCTGCATCAAAGCCCCGAGAACCCCGGGCCCTTCCTGCTGTCACTTTTGGGCACGGTATTAGGTCCATTATTCGTCATGTCGTCAATGTTCGTGGTGCTGCCACATCTACGTCGTCTCTACGGAGAAGGAATTAGTCAAGTCGAGCCGATTCTCGCTGCTTCCACCTTGTATGGCTTGACTGCTATGGCCGTTGTGACCGAGGTGGTTGGGGTTGTGTTTCTTGCTTACGAATCCGAGGCTTTACCAGTCAGTAGCATCATACAACCGGCTTCACCGATCAAATACCGAGCCGTACATTTGTTCAGAGAACAAAAAGTGCTCCAATCATGGTTGCTGGCTTGGGTGTGCAAGCTGTGGCGCTATTCGGGAGTGCAACTGCGTACTTTTGCCTCGTCTTACAACTGAGCCCAGGTGATGGAGTCCCAGAGAGTACGAATCCAAGAGTCTACGAAGCGCCGCGATTCGGCAGGTTCCTCAGAGGCGAAGACGCATTATCAATGTAGTGGCCCAAAAGTTAATGTCGTCCAACTAGAAATCGCTAGGTATTGAATTGTCCACTACTGCGCTCCTTGCGTATTCGATTGACGTAATAGTTGGCTGGAGGCGTGGATTCCGGCTTGTTTCAGAACGAGATTGCCTTTATGATAATGAGCGGCGCCTTGCCACTGTTGTCTGCCTTTCTTCTCACGGCTTTCAACCCCGGAATTGCGTTTGGAAGGGCCTGGGAAGAAACATCGCATCGTCAGCCGAGTCGAACGAGTTCTCTCCCTCTGGACGAGGAAGAGCATCGGTTGAGCTCCAAAGCGCATCATGCCTACGATTTCAATGTTCGTAAACAATACTCCCCGCAGTCATCTACTTGGCAGAAAATGTCGGGGAGCCCTTTGCCGCACGAAGCTTTGTCCAGCTTTCTGGCTTACCCTCCAACCCGAGATCAGGCTCGAAGCCGCCGCCAAGCCCAATGGCGCCATCTCCGAGGTTGAATGTTACCACGAATAGGCGTTTAAGTGAAAGATCCGAGAGGCGGGTCAATCTGCAGAAAGACTTAATAGACAGTGATGCTCTTTGGTAGTGAGGTGGCAATGCTGGAACGATGCACGGATATGTGGGGTTTTCGCTGCTTTGTTGGATTACAGAAATCAATTAGTATTTCTAGTCCTGGGGGCGATGTATAATTGAAAAACGTTGAAACTAGAATCTGTAGCAGCGGGGTGGCAGTCTCAACCTTGACAGCTTGAAGCACTAGGCAGATGTTCACGGCAATCAAGCATACCTTGTGCCATTCTTTTCGTGTGGAGGATGCAATGGCAGACTAGTTTTGCTCGAATTTATATGAGACGTGATATCCCGCAGAATCGTGAGACGTCTTGCCTGGTTCGCTGTTGTCGCTGGTTTCCCTCAGCAGCAGCCGCGTCACGACTCACGATGTGGATTGTGACCGTGGCATTGCCATGCTGTTTGCTACCGTGGTCCTGCGCAACATGGGAACACAAGAAGGGGTTTCGAATACAGTAAAGAGGATCCCAAACTTGGTCACAGCTCCGGCGAGGCTTGGTCTGCCTTGGTTGCTTGGTTGCTTGGTTTGCTATACACTGCGATCCGGTTCCTTTCCTTTCCGGCGCTCTAGCCGGGTAACAAGTAGATGCATGCACTATGCTCGTATCCCCAAGCCTTGAGGTTCCAAGTCCGCAATGAATGCTGCCGGATAAAGGTAGAGAGAATCAGCACTACCCCTTAGAATGCCATTTTGGTGCGTTTCAGCTGACTTGTAGGGACTAGAGGCCTACTCTCAGTCCTCATTGTGGCAATCTGGTGGTGACGCCCGACATTGCTTACGTCTCGGGTTCGTTGAGCAGCTTGGGCTCTGCTGCAGGGGCATCGTCGTTGCTTATCCGCCGCGCCGGGGCTCGACTTGCTCGCCCGGACGGGACAGAGGTTTACTAACCTGGCATACTTGCGGTAGATGATGCAGAGTCCAGCCCCTTCGAGCTTGAACAAGATTTGGGATTTTCACAAAGTATAACTTGGAATAGTCCGATGACTAAACCGTTTGTTGAAACGGAAAATGGCTAGAGTCCGTCCTGGTGATGCATATGACTACGCCAGTGTGAATATTACCTGGAGATGCGGTGACTCAATATAGGCTGGTTGGTGTGAGTACAGATCCAGACGGGGCGCATATCACCCCGACCGAGGACTCCATCGTAGATGATTGCAACGCTTCTTAGTAACAGAATTTTGGTATTCGTTGCGTGGAATTTACTTCCCACACGGCGCATACAGTAAGATGTGACTGCTGCGCCTCAAAGCTTGATGGCGAGGGAGGTCTCGTTTTGAGAGTCAAAACTTGGTGGATAGGCCCTGATGCAGTGCAGCTCGCCCATCCTCATAATTATCTTTGAGGAAGACCATTTACCACTGTCGGCGAGATGGTCGGTGTATATTACGTGAACTTGGACGGTTCTTCGCTGCATAAATTTCAGGTGGCTGTTATGCGTCAAAGGCTGTCGTGAAAGAAAAACGCGGAGGCTACGTCACTCGTACGTGATGGGATACCCATATATCGCGGCGTGGAAAGACTGGGAATACAGCAAAGTCGGCGGGTGTATTGTTGAGGGTCGACAAAGCCGCCTGATGCGCGTATAAGTATCTCGTCAGCTGCCACGCGCTGCAGCGGCTCGGCTCGACTCGACTCCTCGGCGTGTTTATTGCTCGGCGCGCGCAAAGTAGCACACTGCAAAGCATGATGATGAGCCAATCTGTTCTGGCGCTCGTGGCACTCTTGGGCACGAGGGCCCAAGGCGACCTCTACCACGACGTCGTCGCCGGCCAGCAGCCTCTATCGGCAGCTGCACTCGTGTGCGGCAAGCCGGGCTGGGGCTCGACGACCTTCTACGCCCGTCACAACGGGATGCCCCTGGCCAAATGTAGGGAGGTCTGCGTGGCCGACAGACAGTGCCAGGCCTACAGCGACGACCAGAGGGGCGAGACGGGGAACTGCTACCTGTACAGGACGCCCGTGGACAAGACGCCCGTGGTCAGCTATCCCCAGTGGGCCATGTACGACCGAGGCTGCGCCCAGCCAAACTGCGGCATACCCGGCTGGGGCTCGACGACTTACTACAAGAGCTTCGGCGGCATGCCGCTGGCCAAGTGCAAGGAGACGTGCCTCGCCGACGCTCAGTGCCAGTCGTACAGCGACAACCTTCGGGGCAAGACGGGCAACTGCTACCTCTACCGGACGGCGGTCAAGGACACGCCCTTTGGCCCGTACCCGGACTGGGCCATGTACGACCGCGGCTGCGGGACCGTCCGGCCGCAATGCGGCGTGGCGGGCTGGGGGTCGACGACCTACTACAAGCTCCTGTCCGGAATGCCGCTGGCCGCGTGCAAGGCCACTTGCCTCTCGGACCCGACGTGCAAGGCCTACAGCGACGACATGCGCGGGCAGACCGGCAACTGCTACCTGTACACGACGCCGGTCAAGGACACGCCGACGACGGCCTATCCCAACTGGGCCATGTACGACCGCATGTGCGGAGTCGCGGAGCCGCAATGCGGAGTCCCGGGGTGGGGCTCGGCGACGCACTACTCGGTCCACTCCGGCATGCCGTTGGCCCGGTGCAAGGAGACGTGCCTGGCCGACCCGGCCTGCCAGGCGTACAGCGATGACTTCCGCGGCCACACGGGCAACTGCTACTTGTACGCGACTCCCGTCAGGGACACGCCGACGGTCGCCTACCCCAGCTGGAGCATGTACGACCGCGCGTGCCCGGCGACGATCCCTCAGTGCGCCGTGCCCGGGTGGGCGTCGACCACGCACTACAAGAGCGTCGCCGGCATGCCGCTGGCCAAGTGCAACGAGACGTGTCTGGCCGACGCCGAGTGCCGCTCCTACAGCGACGACGTGCGAGGCGAGACCGGCAACTGCTACCTCTACAAGACGGCGGTCAAGGACACGCCCTTCGGGCCCTACCCGCACTGGGGCATGTACGACCGCGGGTGCGTCGCGGGGCACAGGCCGGAACGCCCGCAATGCGCCGTCCCCGGCTGGGGGAGCACAACCTACTACAAGCTGCTCCCCGGCCTGCCCCTGGACAAGTGTAGGGAAACGTGTCTCGCCGAGTCGGAGTGCAAGGCGTACAGCGACGACATGGGAGGCTGGTCCGGGAGTTGCTACCTCTACAGGACGGCGGTCAAGGACACAACCTTTGCGCCCTACCCCAACTGGGGCATGTACGACCGCGGCTGTGGAAAGACCGGAGCCGACGGGGAAGATGAGCGGCGCCAAGGTGTTTTGGACGAGTCGTGAGTCGCACACCTGATACATGACGAGTTGAGGGTCTTTGTGCCGGGTCCTCGAGTGACCTATAAAGGTGGGAGAGAGAGGTGGGGGGGAGATGAATATTCATCCAGGCTTTTGCCACAAATTCATTGTCATTCGCGTCATTCTCTTCCGTGCTACACACTACAAACTAGACAGATTTAACGCTCTTTCGAATAGCAGCAGTCACACCTACTGTTGTTACATGCCGCTCTGTGTGTCTTCATCAACATGGGCAGTCTAACGCGACTGCTACTGCTGCTGCTGCCGCAGCTTCTTTATCTGCCCATGATGATTGGCTGTTTCGTCGGCAACCTTTTTCAACTTCTCAACAATGTCCTGCAGCTCCTTTGTCTCAAACCCTTGATGGGTTCGGCGATCATCATCCACGTCTGGTAAACCCTGCTCCCATATGTGGCTTGAAGGAAAACCATGCTGCTCCCTGAGCTCGCGGGCGTCTCGGAGCCGCAGCCGGGCCGTGGAGTACTTTTCATGGCACTGCTCGAGACCGTCTCCTCTCGCGATAGCGTTGTCGCCACGCTTCAGGTAGTCATCGTAGCATTTGGAAGCGTCAGACGTCGCGAGTAGCAGTTTCTTGATGGCGCCGGCATATCTCGTCAGCTTGTCCGCCTCGTCATGGGGCAAGAGTGCGCTCGATTCCCCCTCGTGCGAGTGCTCTGCTTCCTGGGGCTTCTCCGCGCTCCGCGGCCAGATGTACTTGTCTCGGTTGCCCCTGCATCCCCCGACCTCCATCTCCCACTTGAACTCGCAAGCGCTGCAGACGGCATATCCCTTGTTGAGCTCCGCCTGCGTCTGCCCGCCTCCGCACGAGACGCCCTCGGGCCATTCGTCCCAGTCAGAACACTGGGGCCTCTGGGTGTTGTTACTTGGCGGCCAGATGCGGACCCCCTGCTTGTTGGTACATCTCCCCTCTTCCTCGTCCCAGGAATCGCCGCAGATCTGACAGGCGAGAACCCCCGTCTCCAGCTCGTCTGGCGACTGCCCGCCTCCGCAGGGGACCGAGATGCCCGAGGAGAAGCACTGACGGGACGGGCCTGGGGGCTCTGGGGGCCCGGGGGTCGGCTTTGGCGGCGGGGGCGGAGGGCAGTTCAGCTCTACTAGAGCTTTGCGAAGCTCCTCGTCGAGATCGGGGCTGTCCTTGATCCTGTCGCAGACCTCCGGGGGGCAGTTTTTCTTTACCAGATGTTTCTGGTAGTCCTCATTGGGGTGAGATTCTCTCATCACCGCGAGGCAGAGAGGATAGCTCTCACTAATGATGAGATCGCGACAAAGGCCATAGCAGCGGGAATCAGGTTGTGGCAATCCCAGATGGCACTGTGCTTGCAGTCAGTCCCGGTGGCTTGAGGAGAGCGGCGCGTCTCCAGCTTGCACGTCGGCCAACTTACGTTGCAGTTTTCCAGCCTGTAGACGGCGTTTTCGAACTCGGAACAGCCGTTTTCCAGGTCCGCCCGACGACCTTGGTCCTCGGGATAGTCCGTCTCAAGCGCGGAACAACCGTCGAGAAGCTGGTTGACCCCGGTGAGCCATTGCTCCTCGGGCGTCCCCCGGCTCTGCTCCTCTTTTTCCTCCTTCTGATTTTGCCGCTTGCACGCCTTGTCGACGGCATTTTCGTGCTCTTGCTCCCCTCGCAACCAGCAGAGGATGCCCAAGTGCAGCTCGTTTCCAGAAATCTCAGGGACCGGCTTGCCACCAATCGCCTGCTGGAGCTCTGCGATATTGTCGTCAAACCACTTCACGGCATGGCCGATGGGGTGATCCCACTCAATGAGCGCCTGGAGCAGTGGTCTTGCAACGGACCCCAGTATCCCGGCGACGACGGCCGACCCGGCCCGCGTCCCGGGTCTCAGCTGCATTTTGCGCGACCTGTACAGGCATGCGCCGTCGCGCCTGCAAAGTCCGCCCTTGGTCCACGAGTTGTGTTCCTTCTTCGTGTTCCCCCCGAGGTTGCCTCCGTTCTTGTTCAGCCTTGTCATCTCGCTCTTGGACTTGGACTTGGCTCCATCGTTCACGGACCCTGGAAGACCCTTGATGACGTCACCGGAGCTTTTGGTCTTCCGCTTGGGCACGCCGGCCAGTCCCCAGTCCTTGATGCCATCTACTGCCGCCTGGAGTATTTGGCCGCCCGGCTTGGTCTCCTGATACTTGGGACCCTGGCCAACAGCGGCTAGGTATGAGCGGGGCAGGGGCAGCCCGAGAAGGGCAACGTAGGCGATTGGAATCTTCATGTGCTCGGAGTGAAGGGCTTGTTGTCTAGACGTCGACGACAAGTAAGGGTTATCCGGGGCCTGCTAAACATCGAGGCAAGCCGCAGACTTTATATCGTGTTTTGCTGCTGCAGCGCACGCTGCGGCATGAATATCAGCGTCGGCTGAGGCTTTTCACGTAAATGATTTGTGGGCTTCACCTCACCCGCATGAACCATGCGTACGTGCGTTGGTGAGGCTGTGATTGACAAGAATTAGGGTTCATCACGTAGAGTAGACCTGACAAGGCACGAGCGTGAGACCTTGGGAAAAAATGATGCAAAAGAAAAAGCAACGTTACGCTTGACCCGGCGCGAGTAATGGATGGCTATGCACCGCGCTCACCACGTACGGCCTCTGCTTCGGAAGCATGGATGAGCCTTCTTGCTGTCCTGGAGGAGAAGAGTGACTACGACTCTTTATTCTGTTGTTGGAGTCCTTTCGGCTGCGGTGCATGGCACGAAACCGCCCCCCCAAGTACGATGGCTTGACGCGACGAGTATCATGTGAGCGGTTAGCGTGCGACGGATAGAGGGAAAGCCTGCCGTCGAGGCGAGGAGCACGGCACGGGACCGACTGTTGTGGTCTGGGACGGGACTCTGGGCCAACGCCCGACCTCGCCTTGGCTGCATCGTGGTGTTGGTGTCAATGGACTGTCGGCTTGTCCAATACGCAACCTCTTGGCCTAGCATACCACCGGGGCGGCTGGCACCTGTGTTGATGTCGCGTGGCACATGAGGTGGCCTACCAGACCCAAGACACAATAGTGTGGTGTGGCCACACCCGTTTTCTGCTGCGACAGTCGACAAGTCATGATGCATGTTCTTGCCCAAGCTTTGCCCTCAAGTCTGCTTCCCCTCGTTTCGCTGGCCTTCATGCAACTACATGCAGAAGAGTCAGCTTGTGCCCTCGCATGGTGTTGATGCCAAGACCAGCCTCGCCCTCTGCGACACGAATCAGACCAGAGCCCTGGGTGTTAAGCACGGCATCCCGTGGCGGCGACGGCCGCAAACACCCACAGTCAGACATGTCCGTAAGGCATCTCGGGCAATGGCGATTCCGCGCGCACGCCGAGGACTCGAGTACCTCTGTGGGCGTTGAGAGTGTAACAGTCGCCTTTTTTTTCATGGCGATTTTCTGCCTAGATTCTGCCAAGTAGTGTATGTACAGTTACAGCTGTACGTACGTACTTTTTGCCTTGGACCAGCCCGATTGAGCCATCGCCGGTGCCATCCGCAGTCATATATGATAGCCGGTGGCGTGCCGGACCCGGCACCCCCTTGACGTCCGAATCCGACCGTTGGCTCAAAAGGGTACGTCTTGAACAGGAAGGATGTGACGTGTGTACTCAGGGTGATTGCGGACAGCTATACAAGGGCTGAAGGTGCATTTCACGTGGGCAACCTCCTCCCTTGCTACTTCAGCACATCCTACGTCCAACACGCATCTGCTCTGTCACAGACACACAGATGCAACCGTCGCCTGAAAAGCCGCCTACAGAACTGGTGGATGCGGACGCGCGGAACATGGGCCAACCCTGCCGTCTTTACGAGAACAGCAGCGTGCTGCCGGGGGCCACGTGTCAACAAGGAAAAAGTTTCACCACCAGGAACTCGCTAGTAAGGTTTAACCCAGCTCCCGATCAGGCTGACAACCTTTCCTTGTGGCAGCCTCCCTGGCCAAGAGACAAACCAAGCCATCGTTTGCAAAACCGTGTCCAAAAGTCCCAAAGCCGAGCCCCGCCAAGATACCCATGGGCCGTGGCGCCGCGAGGAATCGGACCCGAGAGTTTCGAACCCCCCCGGTGGCCTAAGAACATGGCCCGTAGAATAACAACCTCAGCTCAACTGCTCGTCGTCGTCGTCGTCGCCTGTCGCGGCCCTCGACGCTGCGTCCCCCCGCGGACGCGAGAGGCCATGTTCACCGCCATAAAATCCTCAGGCGTCCAGCCCTGGTCCTCTCGTCGCCCAGCGGTGCCGTAGGGGCGACAGGCCAAGGGTTACGGCGGTACACCTCGTCCTGCCGCTCGTCTTTGCATCTTCGTACAACTTGCCGAGGATGAAGGCGACATGTAGCCCTTGGCAGCGGTGGAGGGGAGCGCGCGAGATGCTTGCCGACCTCGCGCATCTCCGCACGAGCCATGGAATAACGGTCATCGGGTAAGGACGACATTGGCACGGAGACGGCCGCACTCGCAGATGCCGCCCAGGGACTTGGATCGGGATAGTTCTTGATCAAGTTGTCGTCATTAACGTGCGCGATGAACTCGTCGTTGACCGCCTTGGCCAACTTGGACAGATCAAAGGCCGTGCCTCGAGCCAACTCTTTTGTGATGTCTAGGAGATGCTTGCGCTGCCGAGACGCAGTGCCGGCGTCCAAGGCTCGAGCGGCTTGTACCAGAGCATCCTTGGGACATCTTTGGACGAGTTGGCCCCCTTCTCTTTCCTCCCAGATGGTAGTTCAAGCAGGCGTTCCGCGGCTGAGGCCTCGGATTCTTCCGACGACACACTCTCGGCTTTGGGCCTTTTGGACCTGCTTAGGAGTCGGTTCGCCTTCGCCCTCGGGAGAACGCGCGCCCTCTGCGTCAACAGGAGTGGTTGGCTCATCTCTCTCCTTCAACCGCTTTGCGAGAGTACGAGCTTTTTCACACTCGCCGTCTGCACGAGTTCGCAGCAAATTACCGTCCTCGGCCGAGCGCTTAGCTTCAAGGTTCCTCGCCGTGCCTGGTAGGGTGGCAAGAAGCGCAGGGCAGTTGAGACCATCAAATTCACGCCGACTCGGTTTATTCAACTCGTCGTCACGGACTACTTCCACGGGCTCGTCCACGTTCGGCAGGTGTGCGTCGGCCTCTTCAACTTCCATGCGTTCCACGGCCTGTGGCTGATTATTGAACATTTCACCAGTAGAGGCCTTCTTGTCAACATAAAACATGGCAGTGACTCGTGAATCGCCGACTGCTGCGGTTACATCGCGCCGGTGGACGGGTGCCTGGCAGTCCATGTATCGCCTATATGGTGTACCGGGATTTCTGCGAGTTGAAGGGTTAGTCTCGTGTTGTGCAGCTACATCTTTCTAATTTACCAACGTGGCAACAACAGCATGCCCTCCGACGGGCCTCTGATATGCAACTCCGACAACGCGAGGTGAAGCGCTGGGCGGCAGTGCCGGCGGCTCGACAACGCCTCGATGTGCGCTCCCCCGCTGCCACAGGCGAAAACGCAGGCCAAGCTTGTCGAATGCATGAATCATGTCACGATACAAGACCCCATGAACACCAGGCTCGCCTAGTCGCTTTGGCTCAGGCACAGGAATGCCAGTGCGCCTGGACATGTCTTGGGCGCTTGTGCCCAACAGGCGTGCGGCGGCAACAAAGAAGCAGTGCTCGCACATTTTTGTCGCCGACATTGTCACAATTGGCCAACAGCCGATCGAACAGAGTGTCCTCCGGAGACGGAGTGTCCGGCGGAGCTCGTTGTTGCATAACTTCAGCCTCGACCTCATGATCCAAGGTGCCTGTTCGTCTCTACTAGCCTCGGGGCTTCGATACATGGCTTCACATGATAGAGGTGCGTACTCGTCGTGCCAATAGTCGCTTGGTGAGCCTCTCGGACGCATAACGGCGCCACCTGCACGAAAGCAAAGTCTTTTCGCATACAAAGTACTTGTTGTTGGAAACGTTGCCGATATAAAAAAGATGGGTCTCTGCTAGAGTGATCACAGTTGCTGCGATGATAGCGTAGAAATCTTAGTCGTTGCGAAGGGTGATATTTCGTGTTTTGCTCTGACTGTATACCCTGCATCTATTTTTAGTAGTAATTAACATAAAATCTTATTTTCTAATTTTCTTCTCTTTTTTTATTAATATCTTCTATTTTTAATAATACTACTATAGAAGGCTTTAGTAGACTTTACAGTAGAGTAGGACTTTTGCTACTTTTTTAAATAAAAATATTTGCTTATAAGTAATAGTCTCTAGAAATTAAAATTACTTAATAATAAATATTAAGTAAATACTAATGTAAAAAGTCTTAATGTTTATTAAAACCTAATAAACTAATAGAAGAGTTAGGTTTAAGGGTATCTCTGACAGACTTTTATATTATTACAGCGTTATTGCATTATAGCTTGCGTATATCAACTGTAGTATCAAGCTCCACCCAACTGCTCCTCCGCTTGGCGCATAGAGCGGGCCTAGACCAGATTGGTAACTATGACAAGAGACTATATCGTCGTGCTAGTTGAGCACGAGCTTTCATGATGGTTGGATTGCGCGGCAAAATGCTGTCTGAGTGGAGGCTTTTCGTAAGAGAAATACTTGGTATTCCCAAGGCGTCTGATTAGCCACAATACTGCCATTTGATTGGCTAGTCCAAGGTCAACTTTCACTTTGACAGGTCGTGTTTTTGACGCGAGCACCTTTATCGTTCGCTATTTGTTCGTATCTAAATAGTGCTCCTCCTGCGCTCACACACGCATAGTTACTCTCTTTTACCTCTTTGAGAATGCCTCGCCTCGTTCGGTTAAGGAGGCTCTTTGTTGCTTATATCCCTATCTCTTGCCGCAACTAGGCCGAGGGGGGGGAGGCTTGCACACGCTACACCTGAAAAGGCCGTCTAGGAGACACATAGAGGCAAAGTATAGAGACAGGGCGAGATCCTACGAAAGCAAGTAAAAGGAGAAAGCGCACTGACAGAATTGGGTGATTTTTAGTAGCATAGGGGCCCCCTGGAAGTCCTCGGTCATTTATAAGGTAACTCTCTGCCCTGATCGTATAAAATAACTTCAACTTGAAACTCTAAACAGTTACTGCTATCGCCTCCCTTTTAACCTTGCTTAACGCCAATCTCCTTGAGCTATATAGTCGTGCAGATAGAGGTGCAAAACTAATGCAACCAAAAAGCTGGAAGATGCACTGGCAATAATGTGGGGAGAATCCTGCGGCTCTACTGTGTCCTGTTGGTGCAGGTGTTGCTGACCGATTCAGTGCTCTTACGTACTATAACCGTTGAGATTGATGGCAGATTTAGTTGTCGGATAACGCTTCTATAGACTGAAGTCGCAGAGCTAGGTTGGTATAATAGGAGGCTGTCATAGCGTCGGCTATTATGGCTAGACTTGGACTTAGCCGAAAATTGAATTAGGACGAAAGGAAAGTTTTAGTATCGAAAAGAGAGCACAGAGTTCTGCGACTTAAACAACAAAAAGAACGCAGTTTACTAATAATATATTTATTACTCTAGATAGCTGTATAGCTATATAACTAGTATATCTGCTTCTTATTTTAGGCCTAGAAAACTCTCTAATAGAAAGAAAAGCTCTACCTGCTGCTGTTTTTGCATCTAGGCCTTATATTATATTATAATATAAAGTATTTTCTTAATATAACTAATACTAAACTATATATTTCCCTCTATTTATTCTTAACCTTATTACCTTAGTATATAATATATAGTAGCTATATTATATACTAGCTTAATTTTCCCTAGCTCTAGAGCTCTAAGCTCTACTAGCTAATTTTTAAAGTAGGCTTAGCTTAATTCTACCTCTTAATTATATAATAAAGTATATAAGTTAACTAATTTCTAGGCAATTAAGCTAAAAATTCAAGTGCCTTTAGCTAAGTTTAAACTAGCTCTTTATAGAGTAGAATAAAGCTTTATAGCACTTAACTACTATACTATAGAGGCTTTACTAATAATAATAAATTTAAAGATAAGCTTAATAAAATTATAATATAATATTTTTTACTTTAAATAGCTTATAACTTTACCTACTTTAATATTAAACTTAGCTATATACTAATAATATATTTATTATATTAAGTAGAGAGAAGAGGGGGGGGAGGGGTAAGTAGACTATCTTGGTGTTAGCGGCAGATACTGCCTACTACAAAAAATATATATAAAAACAAGGGAAACAACTATAGTATATAAATTACCTATAAGAAATATTTATATATATTTTATATATAAGAATTTAATATACTTTATACCTATATTTCTTTATATATATAATTAAGAATAATTAACGTTAAGAGAGGAATGCTAGCTAGAATTTAACAAAAAGACTAATAAGCTATAAAGGCTAAACTACTTTATAGAAGGAAATAGCTATAAGAGTTATTTTAAGCTACTAGCTATACTTAATTTAGTAGCTCTACTATAGAATTTACTTATAAATAACTCTCCTTCTCTTTAACTAGATAGAGAGGAAATTAAGCCTTTATTACTATACTTTTTAATATATACTATTATATATAAAATTAAACTATACTATAAGTCTCTTTTATTATACCTTAAGAATCTCTATTATTTTATGCTTAGTAATTAACTAAATTATATAAGCTATATTTACTATATTTTTATTATATTATAAAGAGTCTTTTAATTAGCTAATAGTTATAAGCCTAGTTGCTATAAGCTTTATACTATATACTATACTTTATTAATTTTTAGAAATATACTATTTCTATTTAAGCTTAGTGCTAAACTTTTTACTAATTAAAATTTAGTATTTAATTAAGCAACTTACTTTAAACCTACTTTAAACTTACTTTTCTAAACTTTATTATTATTTAATAAAATTTATACTTATTTATATCTATTTAACTAAGCTTTTATATAATAAGCTATTTACTATAAAATAAAAGTAATTTCTATATAAAAACTTATAATAATTTACTATATTAATAAAAACGCTATTTAAATTAGTAAAAACGTTTAAAAACGCTTAAAATTACTATATAACTATTGAAAATAGAATCTACTGCTATAGAGGCTTTCTAAAAGGTTACTTTAACTAGCTTAGCTAATTAGTATAAATAGATTTCTATTATTAAAAAATTCGCTATAAGCTAGAATATTTAGAACTATATTAACTTTAATATTAAGCATACTAATAATAATAGGCTTATAAGGCCTAAAGAGTCTAGCTATAAGAATATTAACGCTATGGCTTCTTATATTGCTAACCTTACTAATATAGACCTTAAAAAGCTAGATACTACTAGAGCTAGCTATTAAATTTAGCTCTAGCTATATTTAGCTTACTAAAAAGCTATATATAATATATAGAGCTATATAATAAGTATAGTTAGTTACTATTATAATACTATTTTAATAGAATTTAATATAGCTATTTAACTAAAGCTATTAAAAGATTAAATTAAGCTTATATCTTAGAATTATAAAAAAGAAGTTCTAGAAACTTATAGAGCTCTATTAAGAGCTTTTAATAGAACTAAAATAAGGACTTAAATTATAAATTACTAAAAAGCCTTTATAAAGACTATTTAGCTTAATTTACTAGATATAAAAGGCTTAAGACTTAC